GTGCTTCAGGGTGAGAAGAAATGCATCAGATGAGGGGCAAACAAGGGGCAGTCTTGTTCTCAGAGATCCCATGTGCACGGGGTGGATTCGGTTACTTCTTTCTGTCCCACAATCGCCCTGTTGTGAAACCTGGGTGAGAAAACCCCTCTGGCTGCTGGCACTGCTGTGAATGAGTTACTGTGCTGGGAGGTTTGCAACGCTCTGATTCCTGCCTGGCTGCAACTCAGCAATTGCACCAGGCTGCAGCTGTCAGAGCCGTAATCCTTGTGGCTTTGGTGGCAGCAGTGAGAAGCAGAGCGTGGAGGAGAGTGAGCTGGAGGCCTCGCCATGCGCCTCCAGCTGCTTCTCCTTCACAGACTCAGCACCGGCTTTTGGAGGATGCCCTGGATCACAGCCTTTTATCTGCACTGAGCATCTGCTGCAGAAGAGAGAGACAGGGCAGTGCCCAGAAGGCTTTTCATAGGCACATTTGAACATGTGGCGTAGGCAGCAGGGCCAGGGCAGGGATTGTGCCCCTGTGCTGGGCACTGGTGAGGCTGCACCTCAAATCCTGTGTTCAGTTCTGGGCCCCTCACTGCAAGAGAGATATTGAGGTGCTGGAGGGGGCCAGAGAAGGGCAACGGAGCTGGTGCAGGGCCTGGAGCACAAGTGTGATGGGGAACGGCTGAGGGACCTGGGGGGTTCAGTGTGGAGAAGAGAAGGCTCAGGGGGACCTGATCGCTCCCTACAACTGCCTGACAGGAGGTTGTAGTGAGGTGGGGTCGGTCTCTGCTCCCAAGGAACAAGGGACAGGACAAGAGGAAACGGCCTCAAGCTGCACCAGGGCAGGTTTAGATGGAGCTGAGGAACAATTCCTTCCCCAGAGGGTGCTCAGGCATTGGAACAGGCTGCCCAGGGCAGGGCTGCAGTCACCGTCCCTGCAAGTGTTCACACAGCGTGGAGACGAGGCCTCAGTGCCATGGGTTAGTGGTGGCCTTGGAGTGCTGGGGAGCGGTTGGACTGGGTGAGCTTAAAGGGCTTTCCCAACCTGGTTGATTCTATGATGCTGTTTGCATACACAAGTGCGTTGTCACAGTGATGCATTCACTGTGGTGGAGGGTGTCAATGTGTCTGCTGACCAAGCTGAAAAGAAAACTACACATTTGTGTCTGCTGTCAGCAAAACAGGCACATCTTAGTTCTACTGGAAGCACCTCTGAAGCTTTGCAGCCTGCCTGGTTTGAGGAAGCAGGGTTAGAAGAAGAGGTTATTTCTGTGTAAAATGCTGTATTTGAAAACGACACCTTTAAGGGTGAAAAATGGCAACGGTTTGGCTGGAACTTATCAGAATAAAGTATTGTGACTCTTCTGTTACTTTTCTTTTTCCTCTAACTTGGAAGGGGAAATCCCCCTCAGCACTTTCAGAGGTTTTTGTCAATATAAACCTACTTTTTTTGATGACAAAAAACCCCAAATACTCAAAATCTCACCTGGTCACAAAACCTCACCCCCGTCTTTGTACGCAGGCATACAGACACGATATCCCCATCAGGAAAGTGAAACGAGCCCTTCTGTGTATGGCATTTTTGTACCTTAAGATCATCCATAGGCACGTTTGAAGAACTTCTGATTGATAGACCCAGATACCGTGGCAATAGCTGAAAAAGGCCAAGATTCCTCAAAGACAGCTCCTGTGTGGGGTTTCCTCCTGTAGCTCCCAGGTGAGTGCCAGCTCTGTGCACTCAGTGCTTTCCAATCCCTGCTGCCCTGTGGGAGAGGGGTGCAAGGTGGATACAGCCAGTGGAAGGTTCTTGTGGGTCCATGCAGGCAGCAGAGACACTTGGGAGAGGGATTTTGGTGCAGAGGAATGGCCAAGGAGAGGAATATGGGGTGAGATGTTCATCAAGGTGCTACCTGCCACACTGCTCTCCCTCCGCAAAGGACATGCTTGCCCTGACCCCCTGCCTTCCCTGCAAAGTCAAGCTGTTGTCATTGTTCTCCCCATCAATAGTGATGATTTCTGGTGGTTTATAAACCATGTTTGCTGAGCAACCCAGCATCTGTGAGCATGCATACCCCCTGCTGCACTCAGTCCTGCCTTTGTTTCCCCTCCTGAGCTAAGTCACCTCTCCTCCTCTTCTAATATGGGAGAGTAAGAACTCTGAGATGCAAGGTGAGGGCTGGTTTGAAAGGGAAAGGCCTCTTTTTGACTAAGAAGCTGCTCGTATTTGGCTGTCAAGCCAAGGTAGAGAAAATCTCTGGGCAAGAGTGCCTCACTTGGATGGTTACCACCGTGTTGAGATGGGTGGAAGCAGAGCATCACATCAAGGCAAACTTGTCCTCCACTTTCCACTATGATAGTGAGCAGTTCCAGGAAAGACTTAGTCTTTTCTTGGGAAATATCCTACCAGGTAGGGTATCTTACTCTGCTTTTATTCCCATCCTTTCTTAATGGCTGCTGCACCAACAACAGCCAAGAGCTATAGCAGGGCTTGTGGCTGAGGCTCTTGAGGCCAAAGCAAGTTCTTGCTGGTGGTGTCTTTTGTTTCAACCGCAGTTTCCTTTCTGTGATGAAGCTCCATTCACCCAGACCATTTGCAGGAGGAAGGAGAGGTTTCTACAAGAGCAGGCATAGTTTTGCAGCAGCTAAGCTGGCTGTCACCCCAAAGGGACAAGAAAACCCTCTGGGGCTGATGTCAGAAGCTGAGCTGGTGTGCATGGTGGTTCCCCCAGTGCCAGCAGGTATGGCTGGCTGTAGGAACTGCAGATGTGGCCATGCTCCTTGCCTCACTGCAAGATTCGTTGTGGTTGTGGCATTTGCCACAGCCTTTCCAATTTACATGGGCTTCCGCAGAGCATCACTTCCATGACCTCGGGGCTCCGAATAGTCTGGGGGAGAGGAACTCTGCGTTACTCGGATGTGCTGGTCACTTTTAGGCTGACAGTGTCTACATGAAGCATTGCATGGGAGGTTTCATCATCACTGAGGCAGAAACCATAACTTCGAAGTGGCTGCTGCAGGCTGAGCCTGGCAACCACCATCAAAACATAAGACAAACCAGAAGGCTTCTCCTACAGTGACATTTTCCCTGTGTTTTTGAACCTGTGCACCAGTGTTTTCACCATGGTGGTGATGCCACATGGCTTTTCCCTCTGCAGTTCTGACTGGGGGCATGGAGCAGTGTGTGGCATAGCTCCTGCACCCAAACTGGCCATAGGTTGGAGCACTGGAGATACCAACAATCAGCTGTCTCTCTTGCCATAAGGTGTTTCTACCAGGGAAGCCCACAGGAACATGGGGAGCCATCACTACCACTGCTTTTAGCGTCCAGATAAAACTCAGCTGGAGCGTGCTGCAAGGCAGCAGCCAGGCCTGCTGGAGGAGGGAGCTCTAGGGTGGGTTTTGGATGGGTTCTTAGCAAGAAGATCTAAGACCTCCCTGCCCTCCGTGTCCCACTCAGCACCTTGGGATCACCCCCAAAGCCCTGGGAGGGACTGTTTGGTGCCTGCTGCCCCATCCCCAGCTATGAGAGCCTCCGGGTCTGGTGTCTCCCTTCCCACACTTAACCAAGGAGCACTTACACCAGCTGGCTTGCTCTCCTCCTGCAGGAAGGCTGCTCCACAGCACCAGCACCAGCTCCCTTCAGCCCAAGGGGCAACCTGCAAACATTGCCCTGCTATGCCTGTGCTTTCTGTAAAGCAAGACAATCCTCTTTTCCCCTGCCCTTCTCCATGCTGGGCTGTCTGTATGTTCCAAATGTATCCCTCACATGTCTTTCCTTTATCAGGCTAAGCCCAGCTCTCTCATGTGGGTGCTCCTGCCACCTCGCAGCCTTTCTGCACCTCTTTCCATCCGAGCTCAGCACTTTCAAATGCAGGTGACCTTTAACTTCAAACCTCTTGCTGGTTTACCACATTTTTTGCTTTGTTATCCTCTGCAGGTGAACTCCAAAGGATGTTTGTTGGCTCCATAGAGAGTCCTTGTTTCCCTGCGTGGTCCTTGTGTAACTCAGGAGGAGGTGTAACTCAGGGTCATAGAACTATAGAATGGTTTGGGTTGTAAAAGGACCTTAAGAACAACCAGTTCCAACCCTCTGCCAATGGACAGGGACACCTCACACTAGACCATGTCACCCAAGGCTCTGTCCAACCTGGCCTTGAGCACTGCCGATGCTACTTGCAGACTGAAAAAGGGTGGGAAGGGTGCAGGTCATTGCAGCCTGGCTCATAGCTGATGGTGGAGAGCATTGGAAACACGTCCCTCCCATCCTTCCCCCTCCAGGTAACCTCTTCTGAGCTTTCAAGGGAAGCGTAGCATGCCTACAGCATTCAGCCTCCCACATCTGTGAACACACATTCATCTCTACCACCCTCCAGCCCAGCAGCGCTCTCTCTGCCCATACTCACCTCAAATTACCTGTAAGAGAGTGAGCAGCCAGATTAGTCATCTCCTAAACCCATCGCTGCTCCCCCCATTTCACTGCCTTCAACAGATTACATCTTCCATTGCCATTACTGAATTGCCTTCCTCCATTGAGGAAAGCTTGGAGGATGACTGTGCCAGAATCACCCATCACCCTGGGAGCTCCAACCACAGCAGTCACCAGGCCTGCTCACTTCTATCTCCTCTTTTGCTGCTTGAATTCAAGCTCTTTTCCTTGCCTTTAAGGTTCTCTGCATCTTCTTGCTTGCTCCTGCTTTCTCCAACACACAGAGTGCTCCCTGTCACACTCTTCCACCTCCATGCCTCACTTTGCCTGGCTCTGCAGGACTGCTGCTGCTGCACGTACACAGCTTGAAGATCTCCCAGTTGAAACCAATAGGCATTTTGAGTGAACTGAAGTCTTTTGCAATAGCATAATACCTGCAGCAGAAAATGATTCAAGAAAAAGCACAAGATTCTCTTTTCATTTTAAAATAATCATGAATATTTAAAATTTAGCTATATTTCATTGTTTTATTGCTTTCACGACAAACTCTTCTTACTTTTGTATATACGTTAATAACTTACTGGCCAAACTAATGCACAAACCATCCAATGGAAAAGGAGGCACCTTTAATTGACTGATGTTCGCTCATAAGAAGAAATGATGAAAGCTATTGATTTCTAAACAATGAAAGTAGGTAGAACGGAGTTACATTATGTGTGTAACAGGAGGAGGGTTCTAACAGTAAACCCTGTAACTGGGTGCTTGGAGGCAGAGTGGTGCCATGGTCATTGGTAGCATTTTGAATTCCTCAAGGGAGAGGTCTTTTCTTTCTGCCTGTGCTACTGATGAGTGCCAAGTCCTTTGGCTGCATCCAAAGGAGTGTGGCCAGCACGCCAAGGCCAGGCTGGATGTGGTTCTGGGCAACCTGATCTGGTTGAAGATGTCCCTGCTCATTGCAGGGGGTTGGACTGGATGAGCTTGGAAGGTCCCTTCCAACCCAAACCGTTCTGTGAGTCTATGATTCTATAAATAGGTTGTTTCTTCATTTTTCTCTAGCCCATTTTCTCACTTTTTTCTTCCAGCTTTTAGCTCTTCTCTTTTTTTGGGATCCTCTTTCACTATTTGTTTCTGCACCAGCCAGCAAGCTGGAAAGCTACTTTGGATTGGAGCTGCTACCAAAGAAGTGAATGACTTTAATAACAACCAAGCTCTGGATCTAACAAGTACTTGTTTGTGTCTCTTGGGCAAAGCTCATCTTCTCTGTGCTCCTATAAATCAGGAAAACAGTGCTTGTTGAGATTAATGGATGAGAAACGTATCATTTGGCTGACTTACAAAGCACCACAGTTTACAACATACAGTACAGCCATCATTTAAAGCTATTGAATAAAGTAAAGAAAGTCAAGTCTTTGTTTCAGTATTTTATCCTTGACCTAAAATAATGCATTAGATTGTACCTAAAAGAAACCCCAAGTAGCAAAGAAGCTCTGAGATAGCTCCACTTGAATAAAAGCTGCTTAAAAACCGATTGCAAAGAGGTATCAGCAGCTGTGAGTTCTTACTTTGCTCCTAAGGTGAATAGGCTACTGATGGGGAGGGCCCCAGCCAGGGTGCAGATCTTAGCTGAAGGAAATGGAACACTAAAATAACACAAGTTGGAAATGATCCACCAGCTTCTGTCGAAAGCTGCGAGTTTATGTATGTGCTCTGTGATGGAGATATCTCAACTTCACACCTCTGTCAGGGGCGGCTGTGAAGCAGTGGGGTTTAGCAAGTGCCCTGGAAGGAGAACACCTATTCAGGTGCTACCATCGCTGCCTTGAAAAGGGCCGTGTTTGAGTTTTGTTTCACATAATGTGTTTGTGTCACCTCTTTTCCTGTTTACCGCAGCTTCAGGATCTTCGGTTTGCCTCTGTTCTGTAACTAGCAGCTGCCCATTCGATACCTGCATATCACCAAAGCTCAGCCACCTCCACAGGCGATGGAGTAAGCGTCCTGGAAGCTCCCAAGCCTGCAAGAGAGGACAAGGACACAGTAGAAGGACGGGACCAGGGTCAGCGGAGAGAGTAGAGGCTTCTTGCTGTCAAAGGTAAAGTCCATCCACGTTTAATGTGCTACTCATAAAAGTAATAGTCTAACCTTGGCAAGGAGGGTGAAGGGACCTGCAGCAGTTACCTCTCTCCTCCGAAAAACTGCTTTTTCATTCTGACTGTTCCACTGACTGATGTGGAGAGGGGAGATGATGGAAAATGTGCCCACGTTGGAAGCTGTCAAAGGTATTAAATGTTTCAAAAGTCATCTGAAAGTCTAAAGCGGAGCCTCTCCAATCTCTATTCAACCAAAATCAGATGCTTTATATCTATAAATCTACCAATCGATGCATGTATTTATATACCCATATATATCTATAGCACAGCATTCATTATTGTTTGATTTTTGGTTTTACTTTTGATTCAATCTATTGACTGCTTTTAAGGGGTCCCTCAAGGAAATAAGAAAATCAAGCCATTGCTGAAATGCGAACAGTCACAGTGCGTGTGGGGGGTCACACATCAAAAGCATTAGCAGGAAACATTTTCTACCCATATGTGTTGCTGCATGAACAGCCGTTATCTAGTGACTCGAAGTGTCAATATTTAGGGGCTTAGGCATGAAAACAAAGTTGAAGTTAATAACACAAATGTCCTACGTACAGCTGAAACCTCAATATAGGAAAGCATCACCCGATCAGCGTAGGTTGCAGCGCTGCTTTCTTTTCATTACTCATATTTATGAACAAGGAACTCCATAGGGCTGAGTGCTGTGTTTGTAAAAGGTTTCTCTGCATTGCATATGCCAGTTGCCTTTGGAGGAAACAGTCCTGGTGCCCCAAGGAAAGCTGAGGCAGATCAGTGGGGGATGAGTATCCATAGCTGGAGCAGAGGATGACCACTGACTCCAGCACCTCTTTGGGTTGTGCATACTGATCCTCCTATTTCCCTGCACAAGGTGGCACAAGATAGGCAAGAAGGGGTGAATTCTGATTCCTTCCTTGTCAATATGAACATTTCCACCATTCTCTGCCTTTTTGTAGACCTTTTAACTTACAAGAGCATGTCCTCTGCTTTAATGAATTAATCACTGTCAATTATTTTATTATTAGAGCTTATTAGCAATAATTATAGTCCTGGAAACGGTATCTTCAAAGGTCTTTCAAGACGTGATCAACCTGTACGCAGGCGTAACAGAGGTGCACTGAACAAGAAACATACAAAAGTCTTGGCAATGACAAGGCAAACACCTTTGAAACAGTGTCTTTCGAAAGAAGCATCACTCCTTAAAATGTGGGCACCTCACCCTGCAAACCAGATCCCTCTTATAGGGGTGATGAGGTGACATCTGGAAACAAATGACCAAACAAAACCCAAAAGGTGGCTTAAAGCACTGACTCCCTTTTGGAGAGGAGATCAGACTATTTTAACACTGTCTTCACGCGCAATGATTCAGAAAGGACAGAGAGGAAATGCTCTCCATGCCCTCATCAGCTCAGCTGAAAATGTGCTGATGCTGCTGGGTGATGGCTTCTTCAGTCAACACACTTTCATAAGGGTCTTTATGCTACAAATGAAGAACCTCCCCAGCCAAGGAACCACGATAAAATCCAGATTCTTAGAGCAGATGCAGGTTTTGTACCATTTTACACCATTACAACTATTCAGAGCATGAATTCTTTCTAATGGTAATGGTCGGGCTTGAGGTCTTAAAGGTCTTTTCCAACCTAGTTAAATCTATGTTCCTCTGATGAGGGGCTAACTCACTGCCACTGAGGCAGTTTGGGGGAAGCAAAGAGCACCCCAGTGCTCATAACTATGCATGTAAAGGAATGGTGGCAGGCTTCCAGCACCAGCCCCATGCTTTTGAGTGGTACAAATGAGACCAAGACTTCATATTGCAGTCCCTCTCTGCCTGAAGGCTGACCCATGGGCTCGATGCAGCACAGAGGGAGGCAGAAGCCACTCTGGGAGTCCCATGCCAGGACAACCAGCCATTTATCCCTTGCTCTTTCCTGCACAGGTATCTGAGATGAATCCCACAAGCCCATTCTTTGGCACAACAGAATATGACTATGGATATGATGAAAACACTGCTCCATGCAATGAAGGAAATGGCTTTCGCAGGTTTAAATCCCTCTTCCTGCCGATTCTTTACTGCCTTGTGTTTGTCTTCTGCCTTCTGGGAAACACCTTGGTCCTTTGGGTTCTCCTGACCAGGAAAAGGCTGACGACAATGACTGACATCTGCCTGCTGAACCTCGCAGCCTCTGACCTGCTCTTCGTTGTGCCTCTCCCTTTCCAAGCCCATTATGCTTCAGACCAGTGGGTTTTTGGCAATGCTATGTGCAAGATAATGGCTGGCATTTATTACACAGGGTTTTACAGCAGCATTTTCTTTATAACCCTCATGAGCATTGACAGGTATATCGCAATTGTCCATGCTGTCTATGCCATGAGGATACGGACAGCCTCCTGTGGTATAATCACCAGTTTAATCCTGTGGCTGGTGGCTGGCCTGGCTTCTGTCCCCAACATCATGTTCAACCAGCAGCTGGAAATCGAGCAGTCTGTGCAGTGTGTCCCCATATACCCCCCAGGCGACAATACCTGGAAGGTTGCTTCTCAGTTTGCATCCAATATTTTAGGCCTCTTGATTCCCCTGAGCATCCTCATCTGCTGCTATGCCCAGATACTGAAAAACCTGCAAAAATGCAAAAACCGGAACAAGATCAAGGCCATCAAGATGATTTTCATCATCGTCATTGTTTTCTTCCTCTTCTGGACTCCCTTCAACGTCGTGCTGTTCCTCGACTCCCTGCAGAGCCTGCACATCATCAATGACTGCAAGGCAAGCTACCAGATAGCCCTGGCGCTGCAGCTGACGGAAACCATCTCCTTCATCCACTGCTGCCTGAACCCCGTGATCTACGCCTTTGCTGGGGTGACATTCAAAGCCCATCTGAAGGGACTGCTGCAGTCCTGTGTCCGTGTCCTCTCCAGCCCCATTGCAGGTGCTGGGGCTGGTCAGTTGTTCCCAGCACCCAGCCAGATCTCCAGCTGCTCGGACAGTGCAGTGATCCTGTGAGCCCACCCGAGCTGCCTTCTTCCTGTGTGAGTAGTTGGCCTAAGGTCCAACGTGGACCTGGAGGCTGGTACCATGTGTGCAGCATCCTCTTGGGAGAACCAGTATACCTCCTTTTGGGATATGCTGTGAGCAGAAGAGGCCACGTTAGTTTCCTAAGGGTTTGTAAGATGGTGACTTTACGAGCTTGCCACAGAATGGGTTTTAGCTAAGCTTTAGAGCTCTTTCATTTCAGCAAGTAGCGTGCTTCCTCTGCTATTTATTTTCTCTTCTGATGAAAGCATCGGTTCTGCCTCACCCCAGACTATGCTCTGCCTTGTGGAAGCTGTTCCATACATGAACCCTTACATCCCCGAGACAGGCATGGGACGCTCCTCTAGGAAGGCATGGGATTACTTCGCACTGCAAAGAGGGAGTCACGTCAGCAACTGTCACCATTCCCATTTTGCTTCAGCTTCCAGATAACGAGGCCACTCAGACCAGGGCCCTGTTGCTTTCCTGTGGGATGATCCCAGGGGACACAGCTGGGGGGGTCCTTGCAGCTGCAGCTGCCCAAAGCAGCCTTTGGGGTGGTGATGCCTTCAAAAACAGCAAAGCAACACCTCCAGGTGCCTCATGGGGTCCCGTACACTCCGATATGTCATCATCAAAGCAGCCTGGTAGTCTGCATGACTGCTGGGGGTGTGGGATCTCCAACTCTGTGCCCCCAGAGCTTGCAGCTGAATGTAAGCACCACCCAATGTAGCATGTAGCACGTAGGCTCTGTCTCTTTTTCCATACATCATCTCCTGCTGCTTTAGAATTGTCTTCTTTGAATAAACATATTAACTGCACCTCTTTGTCTTGGCTCCTGAAAGTCTTTCCAATGGATGACAAGCTTCGGTTAGGAGGAGGAAAGGATGTTCTAGCCAGTGTCACATAAAACACATTGCATAGAGATTTGCAGTGTTGACTGGTATTTAAGAATCCAGTAGTATACATCTAACACACACACACCCACACACACACACACCCCCTCCTCTCTCAAGCACTGTTGATCTCTCATAGATTAAGATTGCTGATCCTTAGGACACTTTTCCCTTCAGAAGGCTATTTCTCTGCCTAATGTGTCTGTAGAAAGGAATAATACAAGTAGCTCTTTTCCCCCTTTTAAGTATGAACTACCAGACTAGAGACACAAACATACCCAGCATAACCCCAAGTTCTCATGTACAGCAGAGCTCTCAGGAGCATTGTGCCTCTTCTCTAAACATGACACTTACTGTTGAAAACCCACAGGATTTTATGCTGCTCCTATATGCGACGGAAAGAATCTATGGAGACGGTAAGCAGTGCTCAAAAATGTTTGCACTTCTACACACTGAAACAGTTCTGGACCACAGCATCACACTATTAAGGAGCTGGTAGTGCCATTTTTTCTGTTACAATTACTTTTAGCTAGAGACTTGTCGATGACAATCTCCTTTCTCCTGCAGATATAATATTCTCCTTGGGATAAAGCAGGTAGCAGATGCACTATTTCCTCAGTTGAAAGGGTTCTGACACAAAGTAAAGTTGGCAAAAGGATTCTGCAGTCTACTCAGATCAGTTCGTTTTCATGTGCTGAGATGTTGTCAGATGCAAAGGCAGCAAGGAACATTCAGATTTGATGTCACCTGGATTTCCTGGTGCTATATGAGGTGATGTGAATATATACACCAAAATATCTAGCCCAATATTGTTCCTTTAAATCAGTGGAAAGCTGGTCACTGTTCTGAAGAGGATGGAGTAAGGAAATGACTGATGTTTGTAGACCAGATCACCTAATCAGATATTGCACAACTAAAGCAACTGGTGTTCCTCCAAGGGCCAAGCTGTAACACGTACCATTGCTATCAGATTGCCAAGTACCGCTTTTCACATTGCTAGCATCTCCCTAGCTAGATCTAGAAGGTTTGTGAACCCGACCGAACTTTCTAGCTGTTGATTTTCATCTAACACGTTTCACAATCCCCCCTTTCATGTTTTCTGCCCTTTTGCATGGTGCGGAGGGCACTGAGAGGAAAGTCTGGCCTTTTTCTAGTCCAAGACCACTTGGCAGTGTACAACAAAGCATCCAAATGCACACACCTTCAAAAACACCTACCGTTAAAACAAATAAGGTGCTATTAAACTGCACAAAGCAGTGCAGGGGAAAAAGCAAGAACATCATGTAAGATGTGGTGCTGCTGGTGTTCATCCTTTCTCTCTTTGGCCCCATGAAGCCCCCCTCTTTCCATAAGGAATAAATGAAGAGCTGTGCCTGGTGTGAGAGCAGGGTAAAGTGCTGGTTTGTTCTGTGTTGGGCTTTGCCTTTGTCCTTGAATGATGCAATACTTTAGGATGTTACAGCTCTGGAAAAGAAAAAGGATCACATGAAACTTTATCTTACAATGAATTTCTACAGACCAGTCAGTGTCACCTCTGTGCCTGGCAGGGTCTTGGAGCAGATTCTCCTGGAAAGCATGCTAGGAAACATGAAAAACAACAAGGTGCTGGGTGACAGCCAGCATGGCTTCACTAAGGGGAAATCCTGCCTGACCAATTTGGTGGCCTTCTATGGTGGGGCTACAGAACTGACGGACAGCGGTAGAGCAGTTGATGTCATCTATTTGGACTTGTGTAAAGCATTCGACACTGTCCCACACAACATCCTTGTCTCTAAATTGGAGAGACACCAATTTGATGGATGGACCACTCGGTGGATAAAGAACTGGCTGGATGGCCGCACACAAAGAGTTGTGGTCAATGGCTCAATGTCCGGCTGGGGACCAGTAACGAGTGGTGTCCCTCAGGGATCAGTGTTGGGACCGGTCTTGTTTAACATCTTTGTTGCTGACATGGACAGTGGGATTGAGTGCGCCCTCAGCAAGTTTGCCGATGACACTGAGCTGTGTGGTTCAGTTGATACCCTGGAGGGAAGGAATGCCATCCAGAGGGACCTCGACACGCTTGTGAGGTGGGCTGATGCCAACCTCATGAAGTTTAACTATGACAAGGGCAAGGTCCTACACGTGGGTCGGAGCAATCCCAGGCACAGCTACAGGTTGGGCAGAGAAGAGATTCAGAGCAGCCTGAGGAGAAGGACTTGGGGGTGTTGGTTGATGAGAAACTGAACATGAGCCAGCTGCAGTGTGCGCTTGAGCCCAGAAAGCCCCCGTGTGCTGGGCTGCATCAAAAGGAGCGTGAGCAGCAGGTCGAAGGAGGTGATCCTGCCCCTCTGCTCTGCACTTGTGAGACCTCACCTGGAGCATTGTGTGCAGTTCTGGTGTCCTCAACATAAAAAGGACATGGAACTGTTAGAACAAGTCCAGAGGAGGCCACGAGGGTGATCAGGGGCTGGAGCACCTCCTGTATGGAGACAGCCTGAGAACATTGGGGCTGTTCAGGCTGGAGAAGAGAAGCTGCGTGGAGACCTCAGAGCAGCTTCCAGTGTCTGAAGGGGGCTACAAGGATGCTGGAGAGGGACTCTTCAAGAAGGGAAGTTCAGGTTAGATCTAAGGCAGAAGTTCTTCCCTGTGAGGGTGCTGAGGCGCTGGCACAGGGTGCCCAGAGAAGCTGTGGCTGTCCCATCCCTGGCAGTGTTGAAGGCCAGGCTACACCTCCTGTAACAAAGGAAGTAGTCCTCTGCACCTTGGCAGACAGGCTGGGTTGTGGCACTGCAAATTCCTGAGTAACAGCACCACTATGGGGAAACCCAACACAGGCATGAGATAGAGAATGTGCCTCACCCTGAAACCCTGAGCTTTCACTGCTTTGTGTATTATAGCCAATTTAAAGCCAGGTTCTGTCACACGTTTGAGATCCACCACTGAATTCAGTGAGGTTGGGTGCAACGGTCAGCATGACTTGTATAACATTCTCCATCAGCGTTAAAAAGATCCAGATAAGCACTACTTATTACCTTCTGCTCTTATTTAAGATAAAGACATAAAGAAGAGTTGGATCAGCCAAAATGGATATTGTTCATTTGCGGCCATGCACTCTAAATACCTCTAGCCCTTGGCTACAGAAGCACACCTCATCCAGTCTTCTTTCTGACACCTTGTGTGGGTTCTGCTCTTCTGAATCAGAAACACACTCTAACCCAAATCCATTATCCAATGCAAGCCCCAAATGCATTAATGAATTGACCCGGCAGTGAGACACCAAACTTTGTGGTTTACAGTATCTGCTGAAACAACCTCATGATGCCACGAAGTTCTGAAGCTTGCCTGCTTTCAGCTTTCTCTAAGAACCTGAGCATCTCAGAGATATTCATGGCCCTTAGATGACTTCCGTGCTCAGCTTCTCTCTCTGTCAGCAGCTCCTTTCCTTCTCTTGAGCTGGAGAAGATAACCAGGTGGCCTCTCTCATCCATCCCAGTGCACTCCAGTGTTGGCTGCTCAGTCTGTCTCCCCTACTAATGGGTCATCCTGTTCTCCCCCTCCTTCACACCAATGCCCAGGCTAGGTAATAAACTGTGTTTTCCCTTCTTACAGCTTCCTGATACAGCTTTTCCAGGCTGTGATGTCCAAAGCCTTTGGGCCTAGCTTTTCCAGGCTTTTTTTCACAGGCAGAGAAAACAATAGGAGGGGACTCCCTGATTTCAGGTTAAAAACACAGGTTTATGGGGCTTAGGCTTACCTGACAGTCTTTTCAGTTCAATGGGTGGAGGGAGGGAAGCTGGAAGTTGTCAGTGGTGAGCACTCTGTAAGTGTTTAATGCTTAATGCATTTAGCATATGAACATCTAGGAGATAAGGAATAGACCTTTGTCAGTGTAAAAACAAGTAACAGACAGTAAACTTCACTCTCCAAGGACAAGTGCTAACAGTACTGAAAGCATATAGTGACTTGAAAAAGTCTTGTGAAATGGAGCCTCAGTGCATGATGGTAATTCCCTAAAGAAACATTCAAGTGGCAGTTTGGTTTTGAGATTTCAGGTGAATCCAAGTGCACTTCAGGCAAAGCAAATACATTTTATTGCTAAGATTCACTTAAAGCTTTAGGTAAGACTTCATCTGAGCGTACTTTAGGCCGAAGGAGGTAGAAATACCAGCTTTCCTTTGAATTCTCTTGCTCAGATAACTCTTCTCTTGGTTATTTTTATCACTTATTTGTGGCTTTCGTCTTAACACTTGCACAATCTCTTCCAAGAAGAACGACAAACTGTTTTTCCTTATGAGGAAAGACTGAGGGAGCTGGGTCTCTATCGTTTAGAGAAGAGGAGACTGAGGGGTGACCTTGTAAGTGTCTATAAATATATAAAGGGGGAGTGTCATGAAGATGGAGCCAGGCTCTACTCAGTGGCAAACAATGATAGGACAAGGGGTAATGGGTACAAACTGGAACACAAGAGGTTCCACTTAAACTTGTCTGTGCTTTTGGGATGCTTTTCTCCCACTGCTTCCTCCCCTTCCATCTCTTGGGCAGTTCTTTGGGTTAGTGAATGTTTATAAAGCTCATTAAACCCTTGCATGAAGGATGTGAGGAGTAAAATCATAGATGCAAGTCTGGGAGACCTTTCCCAATCCTGTCTCACATACCATGCTTCCTAGACCAATGAACATTGCATTCCTTTCCCCTATACTTCTTCAGTCTCAAGATCCCTGCAAAAGGGATTTTGGGGTTGTTCTGTCCTTTCTGACAGGTCCTATCCTCTATAATATAACAATTAAAACAATGATAATAACAAAAATAGCTACAACTCAAAATGTAGTCCCAGTTAGAATCATAGAACAGTTAGGGTTGGAAAGGACCTTAAGATCATCCAGTTCCAACCCCCCTGCCATGGGCAGGGACACCTCACACTAAACCATGTCACCCAAGGCAATGTCCAGCCTGGCCTTGAACATCGCCAGGGATGGAGCATTCACAACTTCCTTGGGCAGCCCATTCCAGTCACCTAAAATGAAGTGTCCAATATGAAATATTTCCTCTCTTTTGAATCCTTCTTTCCCCCCCCCCCCGGTATTTTAGTCTCCATCAAACTTTCTGAAGTAGCTTCCAAGTATTCACATCACCTTTTTGGAAAGAAACTGTCCATTATTATCAAAAGTGAGAGCAATTGGAGCTCCGGCAACCTGAGAACACTGCCCACTTGTCTTCTATCTAAGCACCCAAGCTGGAGGCACAAAGAATTAAAGCTCTTTTAAAACCAGATGTGCAAAATCATGCTTTGTTTCCTTCAAAGGATACGTTTTCAGTCACGAGTCACTCCTTCCCCATCACAAGGGGAACCAAACCTAGGTCTTCCAAGCAATGACTTCTTTTATGATCTTTCCTACAACTGGTCTGTGTAAGACAGAAAACAAAACCAACAGTTCATTAACTCCTGAGAGCCTTCTAATATTAGCAATTCAGTCAATATCTGGATGCCTGCAGGTTTGCATGCACTTTTTCTTCCCACATTTGTTTAGAAATGGTTGTCTGCCCTTCAACTAGGTCTTCTTCCTGCCCTGCATGGGAGGGACTCGATCCCAAAGTGCCGCATTTGCCAAGTTCCCCAGGCTTTTGCCATCACTTACAGGTTGTTGTCCCAGCTTTTTGCTTGGGTGAACTGATACAGCGAGCAAAAAAGAAGGAGCTTGGTGACTCCTGAAAGGCCCTGGAAAAGGCAGAAGGAAGCTCCAATGTCACAAGACAGAGCGAGGATTACTTCTGGTACCCCCCAGACAATTCAAACCCTCTGTAGCCCCTGGGCAATAGACTCCAGAGGAGCCCTACTCTCAAGAGTGAAGACAAGCCCCTCTTTTTGATAGGGCAGTGAAAACAAGATGCCTTAGGCAGGATTCTTGGTGCTGCAAGCCAAGTGTTTCTTCACCAGCAACAGCAGTTCACCAAAGATGACACTTGCAAACCAACCTGCTGAGCTAGCAGCCGGTACGTGGAGGAGGAAGAGATCTACTGAGTGGTAAACCACATAACTCTGCAAATTCAAACAGCAACTCAGAGGGAGATGGTACAGGAAGAAAATCTGTGGTTTATGTCTCCCTGTTATCGTTGTGTTCCTGTATGGAAAGTCCTTCCTGCTCAGGCTTGAAGGTTTTCCGTGATTTGCTGTCTCTACTTCCAGCAAAATTACACAGCTCCTTTGAGATCAACAGGAAATGTTTCTCTTCTTTCAACCATCACAGAAACCCCTCTTCCTAAAGCCTTGCTTAGGCACCAGCCCCAGCTTGGCGAAGTCTCCTTTACACTCTCTGGAACGCCTGTGGTCATGTCTTGTGTGGCTGGTCCTATTGAAACTACCTAGATTTTCTAGGAAATGACCCAATCCAGCTATAACTGTAGCACAAGGCAGTCTCACTGCTTTTGGGAAATGCTGTAGGAAACCACCCAGCAGTCTTACAGAAAATGGTCAAGAGCTGCTGCCTGCAAGCCTGCAATGGGTAGCCTTGCTGTAACTTGCTACACAGTTGTACAAAGTCTCCTCAGGGAGCAGGTAAGTGGCCATATCATTCATTAGTCCTGGTTTATCATCCATCCATCCATCCATCCATCCATCCATCCATCCATCCACCCACCCATTCATCCGTCCTCCCACCCACCCACCCATCTATCCACCCATTCCATCCCTGACAGTGTTCAAGGCCAGGCTGGAGATGGTTTAGTGTGAGGTGTCCCTGCCCATGGCAGGGGGGTTGGAACTGGATGATCTTAAGGTCCTTTCCAACCCTAACTATTCTATGATTCTATGATTCTATGATAATGATCACTTATACAGGCCTCCATCAGCTGAAGGCTGTTGCAGATGCAGTGCCAATGGCATCGGTGAGGTGAATGTCTAAAACCAACAAATGCATGACACCAGCCTCTAGACTCAACTGCACTTCCTGCCTCTGAAACAAAAACATATCTTAGCTACTTTGTGTTATTTTAATCTCTTTCTTTCTATTGCTTTCAATCCTGCGATGTCACATCATGAAAGGGAATGAGCTGCAGGTTCCAGCTTGCCTCATACAAGAGGCTCTTGGAAGTGTAAGATCATTACAGAAATTACAATAGATGCTCAAGGAAGGGATCTGCACCACAGGGTGCAGCGTGGTGTAAACCAGCTCAAGCAGTCTGCACCACATAGCTGGAAGGAAGGTAGGTGTACCAGCACAGTGCTCTGCCTGACCTAATAAGCTCAGAAGCCTCTGGACCTTCACTTGTGTCTCTTCGCAATGCTCACCTAAGGCAAGTGTGATGCTATTGAACTTGGCACACTAATGGTTTGCACAGTATAAACACATCCTAATTTTGCTTACAGATTCTTTTTCACTAGCGATGACACAACCGTGTCGAAATGATGTACAAGTCAATCGGTGATAATGAACGTAAAGAATACGTTGGTGGTGTTGTTTCAACAGAGACAACAATTTCATTTCTAAAGCACACGTTCTGGATGCCAGGTATTTCACACCACTTTCTGTAGGGCTTCAGAAGTGTCTAGAGCAGCTAGAAATACTCAGGTCTGATTGAATTCAACCACCCAGTCTTAACCCAGCAGTTGAGATACTGACTGCTCCAGTTCCAGCTGGAGCAGGACACCCGTAAGGTCTTCATCCCTCAGTTCTGAACCCAGCCTGGAAATGGAGTGTTTCCAGAAAAGAAGAACCATGCCCTTGATTCTTGTAATAATGTGCAACGCACATCACACAGGAAGTGCTGTTTCCTATTTTCAGATATAGGGTTTAACTATGTGCTTGTTCACGAAGTAGAAGACCCGGTCAGACAGCCCCAGCTTGATAAATCAGTGAGTAGCTTATTTTTTTTCCCTTTTTTACATGTAAATGTGTCTATGCAGTTACAGGTTCACTCAGTGGGGATGTATATGTGCCTAATGACAGTGGCAGTAGAGCAACCATTCAAGCAGAGGCACTATCTTTAAGAACAATTGAGTCTTGTAACTAGCTTAAGACTCAGGATGAGGTTGAATGTGAGAGTAGAGGATTGCACCGGACAAACGGTGTAGGAAATGCTATTCTTTTTTTGTACTAGAAACTTACTGGGTCTTGATTTTGAACCTGTTCCAGGAGATCAGTAGCTTGAAGATGTATTCTGCTAAGGATATAAACCACTCAGATGTGAAACCCTTCATGCTTAACCTAACCTCTGCTAATCCTAGCTACATCTTGCCCTGTGAGATGCAAATGCTCTGCATCTCCTCTCCTCATCATTATCCTGTCGCATGGTTTCTTTGTGTTATTTAAGTGTTTAATCTGTTAAAAGTGCTGTTTCATTGTCATGTTATAGAAGAATATGTTCTTTGGGATCAGTTCTGCTTTTTAATGTGATGTCTCTGTGCTATTACATTAGAAAGCCTCTACCCCGTAACTCAGCTGGAGACATCAGCCATAATCTGGCTTGCAATTTTTGTGAACACGTTTTTCCATGAACAAAATTCATCAGTACTACACTGGAATTGTACTCTCTCCATACACAAGGGATGGTGAGCTCCTCTGCTTGGATAAATGAGACTTGCCACTTGGGTATTAGTGAAAACAGCTACAACAACCTAAGAATATAACTTGTGTGTGTGTAATATATCAAATATGCAGCTATAGCAACACTTGCTTTCATGGGAAAACTGCACTGTGATTTGCAAGGAACAGGTGACAATGCAGAGCAGTGGGCTTGAACTCTGCGTGGAGACCCTTATAGCAATAACATGACAGGGACATGATCCTGCCATGCAAGTGGCCATCTCCACTCCGGACCGTTATCCTTCTTTCTTATATTCGAGTTCATCTCCAGACGGGTTGTGACTACAACTCAATGTTTTATGTGAAGCAGTTTAAGCAGAGAACACTGCGGAAAACCCACACCACTGAACAGAGATACTAGCACAGGACTTTGCCTACACAAGGGAAAAGTCCTCTTAAACATACAGCCACGATTTAGAGGAAGACATTGAATAGCTGTCACAAGTTTCTCTTTCTCAGAGTGCTCATTTTCGGTGCTTATGCTGCTCTTTCACTGCGCATTTGTTTAGGTAAGAATGCTTCCTACTTCTTCTGTCTTGTGACCACAGACTGCCTCTATTTAGATGCATAAAAGCTCAGAATGTTTGCAGTGTCTTTCTGGGTTTGGTGGGGAATAGAGACAATTGGATCCTGAGGCTTCCCAGGGAATTAAGGCAGTTTCTTCCAGCCCAGAACATGTTTTTTCCTTGCAAGTTCTGCAGGGATGAAGAAACCTCCTCAGTCAGGAGGCAGTTCTGAGGAGCTGTTTCTAATGCTCAGCTCTTATAGCAGCGGAAGAGGTTTCCAAAGCGAGGTTTCGTTTTGGAGGGGACTGTCTGGTGAGGTCGCACCTCGGTTGCCTGCTTTTGCAGAAATCATCCAGACTTCCTGTTAGCAACCAAAAGGACCCTGCACAGGCAGAGACCAGGGGGGGTGTGGGCACTGGTGGCCACATGCAGTCCATAAAACCAACGAGAAAGCCCCTCAACTGAAAACCATGAAGACTTCCTCAATGTTCATTTGTCATTTTGGAAGAGGGAAATAAGCCAAATAATCACAAGTTGTCAAATCATAACCTGTCTGAAGAGCCCGTTTATATGTACAGCACAAGAGCAGAGGTAGCTGGAGATTCTTTGCTTACACACCAACATGGTGCTCCATGCCTAGATAATTTTACAGCCAAACCCAGACTTCTTGGCAAGGAATTCTGCAGAAGATGTTCCCTTCGGCATTAAAATCTCAGTTAGATTGGGTATTAGGAACAATTTCTTCCCCAAAAGGCTTGTCAAGCACTGGAAGAGGCTGCCCAAGGCAGTGGTTGAGTCACCATCCCTGGAGGTATTTAGCAGACCTGTAGATGTGGTGCTGAGGGACATGGTTTAGAGGTGGACTTGGCAGTGTGTGGTAATGATTGGACTTGATGATTTTAAGAGTCTTTTCCAATCCAAATCATTCTATGATTCTACAATGCCATGATTCAATAGATGAGTGTATGTGTATGCATGTACACTTGTGCATTACACACAAAGAAAGTTGTTTTAACACTGTGTAATCGATAGAATTTGTTCAAGAACACTATTTATATTACATATATATCCACTGGGATAAAGACCCAGATTAAACTACGTCCTCTAGGCTACAGTATGGGCTGGCATGATGAGAAGGTGGCCGTGTCCCAAGGAGAAGCACAGTGCACTTTGCACACTGGATGCTGTGCTTGCTTTTTGCTGCCATCCTTGCTCTCTCCATCCCTTTGGAAAACCACCGCTGAGCACAACAGCCCCATGAGCAGCTTCAGTGTGTGCTTGAGCCCAGAAACGCCCCGTGTGCTGGGCTGCATCAAAATCAGTGTGAGCAGCAGGTTGAGGGAGGTGATCCTGCCCCTCTGCTCTGCTCTCCTGAGACCCCACTTGCAGCACTGTGTGCAGCTCTGGTGTCCTCAACATCAGAAGGACCTGGAGCTGTTGGAGCAAGTCCAGAGGAGGCCATGAGGATGCTCAGGGGCTGAAGCACCTCCCATACAAAGACAGGCTGAGAACATTGGGGCTGTTCAGCCTGGAGAAGAGAAGCTGCGTGGAGACCTCAGAGCAGCTCCCAGTGTCTGAAGGGGGCTACAAGGATGGTGGAGAGGGACTCTTCATCAGGGACTGTAGTGATAGGACAAGGGGTGATGGGTTCAAACTGAAACAGGGGAAGTTCAAGGCAGATCTAAGGCAGAAGTTCTGTCCTGTGAGGGTGCTGAGGCGCTGGCACAGGGTGCCCAGAGAAGCTGTGGCTGCCCCATCCCTGGCAGTGTTCAAGGCCAGGTTGGATGGGGCTTGGAGCAACCTGGTCTAGTGTGAGGTGTCCCTGCCTGTGGCAGGGGGTTGGAACTGGATGATCTTAAGGTCCTTTCCAACCCAAATCATTCTGTGGTTCACAGGTACAGAGATGGGTTTCCTGGGAGCTCCACAGGTACAAATGCTCACGTGCTCAACAGCAAAAAGCATTCCAGAGGAGGACACCAGCGTGTTTCGTTCCCATCACTGACAAGCTTGGAGTTTCTCTACTTTAACATCCTTCTCTTCCTTTCCAGACCAACGCACCATGGAAAACCACACCACAGACTCAGGCAACTGGGAACAGACAACAGGATATGACTACGGTGATGCAGCACCGTGTGAGGGAACAGAGGAAAAGCACTTAGCAGAGAAGCTTTTGCCACCGCTCTATTCTTTGGTGGTGATTTTTGGCCTCACAGGCAACATGCTTGTTGTCCTTGTCCTGGTAAAATACAAGAGATTGAGGAGCATGACTGACATCTACCTGCTCAATTTGGCAATTTCCGATTTGCTCTTTGTATTTTCTCTCCCTTTCTGGGCTTATTATGCTGTCCACGACTGGATTTTTGGAGAGGCGCTGTGCAGGATTCTCTCCGGTGTCTACCTCCTTGGCTTCTACAGTGGGATCTTCTTCATAATCCTGTTGACCCTAGACAGGTATTTGGCCATAGTGCACGCAGTGTTTGCTTTGAAAGCCAGGACAGTTACCTACGGCATCCTCACCAGCGTGGTCACTTGGGCTGTTGCAGCGTTTGCTTCCGTTCCTGGCATGGTATTCCACACAACTCAGAAGGAAAACGCACATTACACCTGCAGTCCTCATTATCCAAGTGGTACCGCAATCAACTGGAAGTACTCCTATACTTTAAAGATGAACATCCTGGGTCTTATTGTTCCAATGGCTATCATGATTTTCAGTTACTCACAGATTCTAAAAACATTACTGAGGTGTAAGAATGAGAAGAAACAGAAGGCAGTCAGGCTTATTTTTGTGATCATGATCTTTTACTTCATCTTCTGGACACCGTTCCACATTTCAACTTTTCTGCACACATTTCAATACGTACTTTTTGTCACAAGTTGTGAATTCGAGGCTCAGCTGCACAAAGCAATTCAAGTGACTGAAACGCTCTCCATGGTCCACTGTTGTATCAACCCTGTGATCTACGCGTTCGCTGGAGAAAAGTTTAGGAAGTATCTCCGTGTCTTCTTCCAAAAGCACGTTGCTGCCCACCTCTGTAGGAAATGCCCAGCTCTTTATCATGAGAACCTAGAAAGAGTAACTTCCATAGCCACACCATCCACTGCAGAGCGTGACATCTCTACTGGACTGTAAAGATACCCCAAGGCAATAGTTAGTTGCATCACTTGCTTTGCCTTAGGGACCGCCTGATGCTATTGAAGGTCTTTCTGCCAACCACTACTGAATGAGCCTCAGTTCTTGTGGTTAACTGTTCCTGGGGGTTTTATATATAGCATTTTCCATTCTTAAACTAAGCGAATCATGGAGTTCTCCAGAGCATCAAGATTTGGGTGGGACCTAAACCAGTATGATTCTGTTTCTTCACCCAAATTCTGTCCAATGAACCAATGCTAGTGAGATTGACCTGGGGACAATACAGTATTGAAGAGACTGAGTACTATATCATCTCACAAGAGCCATTTACTGGTGTGTGAACACCATAAAATGAACGCTGGGATGAAGCTTTGAGGATAGATGTACCTGTTTAGCATTCAGCATTAATGGAGTAACGTTTGGAAGTGGCTGTATTCTTTCTGCAACATGGTCACAGGCATTTGATAGGGGGAGGCTTTAAGTTTTCTTCATGTCCAGCCCCTTATTTCCCCTACATGAATAAAAGATGTTTCCATGAAAAGGAATTTGAGGATGAATATGAGATAGATCAATGTGATATCTCTCCTCTGATGGGAGAGTTGAAACACCTTTATCTCACAGGGCCATTTAACCCAGGGGTTTAGCTGTTAGCTAATAGTGTAGTCATTTTTCAACATAATCCTTTGGACTATAGGCTAAGTTATAGTCTTTTTGTTGTAGTTCTTTAATGTTATGCCTGCCATATCTCTGTTCAGGTGCTAACATTTTCCAAAGTGGGCTTAGTGGATGCAGTTTTTCTCCAAGGAAAGCAGCACTTTTAACCAATAAAAGCCCCTGAGCAGAGATCTGCAAGGCCAGAATGAAAATCACCTTGGTTTTTGCTATGCAACATTCTGTATTAAAGAAGTACCAGGACTCTCTGAAGGATTCTGGAGACTGTGAGCACAGCACTGAGTGGGGGCCTCCCTATTCCTGGACAAGGTAAATCATGTGTGTAGAGGAAGACTTTACATGGCAGATGCAGTAAGTGGGTCAGGTTAGGCTCCTGCATGAGAAAAACATGCTCTTCACAGCTCCTAAGTGTGATGCTTGGGATACACTTCTAGGCAGACAGTAGCCTTGGAACTGCAAAAGCAACCCACTGCAGAGGAGTCATACCTGGAGAAGAGAGCTCATGGCCTACTGCATGCTGATTGACGACTCAAGGCCGTTAGTCAACTGGTGTCCTATGGCCATACATTTATGCCATTGCTGTACAAGAAAGTGGTGCTCTGGGGACGTGATGTTAGCAAAGAAGAAGAGGGAGAACTTGCTTCAGACTGTAAGGAAGTGCAGGTGAACACTCTTTATACCAGAGAACTGTCCTCCTGCTTTTTCCCTCATTTGCATCAAAGGGCACCACTCTTACAGGTAAGGCCTTGCCTATGGGAATCTGGAAGTTCAACTAACCTCCAGGCAACATAAGGACACAAGAAGGGATTCCACACTACTTAACATGAGGCACATGATTCAGATGCCTCATCTGAAGCAAGTATCTTCAAGGTCCTTCAGTGGTCAGCAGAGAAAGAGAGATGCCCAAGTCAGAAGCAGACGTATGATTGAAACAGGACGATTACCTGTCCAACTGCAGGAGGAACTTAGAAAAGCCTCTTCATTTGGGTTCAGATGCCTTAATCCAGGGGGTGCAAATACTCTTCTCCCTCAAGCCTTGTAGCATCAACCACTGCATCTGTTAGTTGTTAGTTTTTATCCTATCAATCAGCTGTTATAATCTGCCCACTGTCTTGTGATGTCAATAGCCAAAAGACCCAAAACTATCCCCACAGTAAACTTCGTTGCTTGGAAATAATACTCTTCCTTCCTTTTGTACTGTTTTACTGCACAAAAGTGGAAGCACCTTTTTAATATTAAAGCAGAAATGAGTTCAGTGTGATACAAACCCTGCTGTAACTGTGATGTTGCTACTGCTGTAGCTTAAATTCTTGCCCTGTTGGAATTATGTTTCTTTCTGTTTCCATGTTAATGAAGGGAAATTAATAAAATCAGTGTCTGAAAAACAATGCAAACCCTGTAGCACCGTGTCCTTCTCCATCAGTAAAAGGGCATCAGCTCTGCTCATAGAACAGATTTAAACCCTCGCCATACCACACTCCAGCAAAAGAAACCAAACAAAGAACTGTCTGCCCAGTCCTCAAGCTACTGTAACTGGCCCAGATTTATCTATCCACAAGCTTGAGTAGAGGGCATTACAAAAGCATTGGGGCCACAGGTTTTAGGTGGGTGAAATCTGGAGAAACAGGGCTGTGTATAAGTAGAAGAGGAGGTATAAAGGAGTGTAATAACAGCTGACACTCTTAATAGTGGGATAAAGACTTTTAATAGTGGGATGAAGGCTCCATAGACTTTCTGCAGCTGATTTCCGACCTCCTTGCACTGTATAGAGTGACACCAGCCAGGTGATGCACCTGATCTCTCAAGGTTTATGCTTAAGGAATGTTAAGTGTTTAAAGCTCAACATGGAAATATGCTTCTGCTTCACCATATCACTCTAGGAATGCCTTTACAGAGGGAGTGAGTGCCAGAACGCTAAACAGGACTCCTACTCATCTATGAAATAAAACCGTAACAGGTACAGTTGTGAGCTACATCAACCCACTGTGTGATTCCTTTTCTTACTGAACAATAGCTTCAATTGCTTGGTAAAATCAGGAGGTTCACCTGCAGGTGAAATTCTTACATGTGCTGTAGCTCCTGGCAAGCAGCAGCGCACGTTCCCAAAGAGATGCTGGGCAAGGGATTGAGAAAAGCTGAAAAAACCCTGACTTGTAGCAATGCTGCTGGCATTGTCCATACCTCAGTGTTGACACACACGCTAGATGGAGGCAATCTGAAGGACAAGGATGCTGGAGAGGGGCTCTTCATCAGGGACTGTAGCAATAGGACAAGGGGTGATGGGTTCAAACTGAAACAGGGGAAGTTCAGGTTAGATCTAAGGAAGAAGTTCTTCCCTGTGAGGGTGCTGAGGCGCTGGCACAGGGTGCCCAGAGAAGCTGTGGCTGCCCCATCCCTGGCAGTGTTCAAGGCCAGGCTGGACACAGGGGCTTGGAGCAACCTGGTCTGGTGTGAGGTGTCCCTGCCCATGGGAGGGGTTGGAACTGGATGAGCTTTAAGGTCCTTTCCAGCTCAAACCAGTCTGGGATTCTGTGATTCTGTGAAGGCAGCAGGGAGGAAGGGGTGATGCAGCAGGAAGATGGCCAGTCCCAGGCTGGTGTGATGGAGCTTCAGATTGGGTGGGAGACCGAGTCCTGCAGAGGTTCATTGACAGTGACTGAGGGGAGCAGGGGCCAAAAGGAAGCTCTAACAGCATTGGTGAAGAGCACACCAGCAGCACCCCAGTGCCAGCAAACAGCACCAGGGGCCCGGGCTCACCTCCAGCCACATGTAAGACCTGATCAAATCTGACTTCCCAGCAGCTCTGCTTACGTGCAGCTGCTGTAGAGCTGAGTGAACACACGGTGTAGGTGCTGATAACAAAAGCCACAGCGCAGGTTCCTGCTGCCAGCATGTGTCCCTGTATTGGGGCTGCAGATGTCACAGCTATTCACACTCTGCGTCTCACGCAGCTGTAAGACCCAGCTGATGGATGAGCAGACCAAAACCATTCCCCTTGGTTAACCGCTGTAACCGTGAGTGCCAGAGGCCCTCTTTTGGCGTGCAACACCCTCTGCACTCTTACAGTGGTGCTCAGTAAATGCGATACCCAGCTGCTGATCACACTGAGGTTGCGGAAGGTTTTGGAGCCTCCAGCAGGCTCAGTAACATGTAACAGAGAACAGTGAGGCAGGTTTCAGAAAGGAATTCTTTTAAGTGTCTCTTAATTTCAGTCTGTGGGCTCTTTAGGAATTATACACTGAAAAATTAATTTGATACATTGAGAATTATAAGAATTAATGGCAAAAGTGCAGGATTTTGGCAGCAATTAGGAGCTTGATTATTTAGGAGTGGAAACATCTCTTCCCACTGACTCTATAGGGGGTCTAATACAGTCCATCAGGTAGTGCGAGCATACCCTTAGAATACCCTACAGTGGCCATTCGCTTTGACCCTGAGAATCCAGCCCTTAGAGAGCTCACTGAAGCAGCTGATTTGGAAAGGAAGAGAAAAATCTATTGATCCTTTGGAATAAAGACCTTGAAGAGTCCTTCCCTCATGCAAAGAAGGGCTGACGAGGAAAACAGGCCATGCTTTTTGCTTGTTACTGTCTCCCCCCAGATCTGAGAGGTAACTGAGAAGCTGTGATTCCCTTGGCTTCCATTAAGGAATGGCAGCATCCAAAGCAAGACATCTCCATTGGGCTTTTGGCAGTTTAGAATCTTTTAAGGCTACTGAGGACTGAGTGCAGGAAAGACGTTCCTTGAGCACCTTCATTAGGTTGATTGAATCAGACACTCTGGAACTGCCCAAAGAGATGTCAAAGGGGGGGACACAACAGGAGGATGTGCTTTATTTGGTATCTTCTCAAGGCTTCTATCTCAGGGTTTCCCAGGTATCTGATAAGGCATCACTTTGTTCTTGCTTTTTTCTGTACCTTTCCAGCCTCCCGTGTGGTTTCTTTGATGTCTAAGAAGGATCTAAGAAGCTGCTCATGGTGCAGCTTCAGTTTGACTCAAAAAGGCACAGGATCAGCCACAAGGAAGTGAACTGATCGGAAATCAGATTCTATCAGGTTTTTCTGAAGCTTGGTTCCGAAGTAACAGTGTTGTTTTAAAAGAAGTGAGACTCACTATAGAGGCTAAGTCATAGTCTTATGAGAGGGATTAAAACAAAAACCACAGTCCAAAAGACTAGGTTGGAGGAGAATAGAATCAATCACATCTCCTAAAATACAAAGACTGAAACTCAGAGCAAGCCAACACAAAGCACAGGTAATTCTGAGTAGAAGCAGAAGCTTTCTACAAAAGCTTTACTTCTTGTCCCTGGGCAAACCCCATAAGGCGTTGAATGATTCAGAAACATAAAGGGATGAACCTCCTGCAAACTGGTCCTGCCTCAAGGAGCTTAGCTCAATCAAAAAGAGACCACAACAATATAACACCCCCCTTTCTAAAGCTCCAGCTGCGGGTTGTGAAACCGTGAGTTCAGCTCCTAGGAAGATCCACATTTCAACATCTCTGCACGTCTCACAGCAGTAGAAAAGTAACATCTGATGGCCCATTTTTAGCAAAAAGAGAACTGCTCCTTGATTTATTTTTTTTTTTTTCAATGCAAACAGACTTGTTTGCTAGAAGTTTTCAAACGGATACATCCTTTTTCAAGCAGGAAGAGGTGTTTTTGAGCTTCCTCTCGTGACTGACAAGTCGGTTTAGCGTTATTCTCGATCTAATAACCCAAGCCATCACTCGCACCATAAAACACATGGTAAGTCATCTTTGCTTCTTTTTCACATATAGGAGTTGCTTAGGTAGTCTAATGCCTGAGGTGAAAAAACACTTGTGGAATCTTGCCTGGGAACTCCCCTTTAACAGTTACACTGGGAAATGCATGGGATGTTGTAAATGGAATACATTATTTCTAAGGGACAGAACCACTACAAGACCTGAGCAGAGGACCCAGGCAAGCAAAAAAGTAAACTTGTAGAGATCGAGCTCAGAAATATGATGGAGAATGCTTGTGATATTTTTTTTCTCTGAAGATCATAGAATCACAGAATGGTTTGGGATGGAAAGGACCTTGGGATGATCCAGTTCCAACCCCTGCCACGGGCAGGGAGAATATATAAGAAATGTATAAGATGATAAATAATGATGGAAGTCTGGATTTTAAACCTGGTACTGCAAGGACAAGCCAGCTTGTTTCAGTGAAGAGTCCTAACTCTTCTCACAGGATGAGTACAGAAAATCTGATGCTGTGTTTTAAACACTGTGGCATGGAACTTGTTCACGTGCAGCATAGGTGGCACTTTACCTCTATTTACTACAGCTTTTGAACTGTTACCATTATATTGCACTGTGCAAATGAACTGAAAATCACTTCAGTAAAGTCTTGCTTCTTTAGAAACAGAGGGCTCTGCCCTGAAACTCAGACTGAAACACGGCAGGAGTTACTCAGCCTTTCTATGGAGTTTTTCTCTCCAGAACTGCATGACAGACTGCTGGTCTTAACCAGAGCAACAGAATTTGTACAGCAGATTGCAGATATCCAGAGATCCTGCATTTATCTAAGCTGTATTTAACATAAGATAGACCTCTTTTTGAAACATCCTTTCTTCAGGGATCTTCCAGTATTATCTTTGAGCTTACCTGACCATTAGAACATTAGGTGAACAAGCCAGGTTGATTATAACCCACTGAAGCTTTCTAGCCAGTGGCCAGCACTGCGTCCTAAAGGAGTGAGATTTCTGCATAAAGCACAAAACCACTTACAATTCCTTCTTCTGCTTTCCACATTTAGTACCTCAAGTTTCCCTTGTCAGCATGTGCTGCATACTACACAATACAATGTAGTAAGTAGTAAGTGCTTTTGCAGAGAGGCTGCTGAAGCAAGGGCTGGGCTAGAGGAATAGGGCTCAGTGAAAGGCAGCACTCCGAGGGGAGACCACAATTTAAGCATGCAAAAAGGGTTGAGAGGAAGGAGATGAAATGCAGGGAAGATGTGGTTGTCTTTCCAAGAAAGCAGAGGAAAAGGAGGGAAGGCATTGAGACAGCAGTTAGCAGGGAGAAGGGGCTGGCACAGAAAGAATTACCACAATAACGTGGAGGCAGCATTTTGCAGTAACATTTGCATGAATCCTATTGACCATAAACTCATAAAATCCCATTCTGGGTTTATGACCTGGGTGTTTTCCACACCCGTGTTTATACACGAGCATCACGCAGGTGCCAAACGATCAAGACAGGATGTGCTGAGTCTGGCACTCTGCTGCAGCCAGTGCCACATCCCATAATCCCAGTACACAGCATGGCTGAGTGACACATCCGAAATGAAGATATTTGGCTAGGTGCATTACCAGGGACTTGTACTGTCAGGGTATGCAACACAGATGTAGCTGAATGGAATATTAACTATTTCACAGTGTCTGAGTCTGGTCATGTTTTGAAAGAAAGAAGTTCATTTTTTGGACCAAAGAGTGTTTTATAAAGGTGGGTTTGTGTTTTTTTTCCTAGAAAAGTTGCTGAAAATACTTAAATCTAAACCCTCAGATACATTAAAATCAACTTATTTACTGTCAATACACCTGAGCCACAACCACTTCCTTTCCCAACAATCCCACTGTCTCAGTATACAAATAACGGTGTAGTTAGTACGGCTTGCGGGGGGGGAAAGGCTTCACAGAGATTGCCTTTGAGAAGTCTGGCAGCAAATCTTTCCTCCCCAAGAAATTGTGTCTGGGCAAAGCTGAGACCCAAACCCCAAAACACACCAAGTTTCTCTTCTTGTTCTCCTGAAAACTTCACGCCATGCTCCACACACCAAAGGAATGGATGAACATGGATGTACTCAGTCTTGATGCTCTTCGGAGCAGAGATGACAGCCGGAGTGGGGAAGAAGTTGGGGAAGGGGTGGGAAAAAGGTTTGCAGAAACAGCACCTCTTTTTTGTCCCCAAGGTGCAGACTGGGCTCCAATAGTTCTTGCTCCTTTTGGGGCAGGTTCCTGTCTGTGCTCTACAGCATGAGAATCTCCATTAGCACCTGGCAGCTCAGGAGGGGCTCAGATCCTGGGACAGGAAACTGGTCAAAGACCGTGCAACCAGTCCCTTCCCGAGGACCTCAGCTTAGGTTTAGCTAAATTAACCCCTTTAACACAAAATACAGTAAGGACATTGCCATTTCGAGCAATCAGTGCTTACAGGATGAAAAAGTCCTTTGAACTTAACAGTTTTGTCTAGAGAGACACAAAGAGGTGCTTCAGGGATTTCACAGGCTGCAAATCAGAGTGGATCACTATGAGCTTCAACAAAAGCAGACCAAGGGTCTGCCCCTGGCTCCCTCCAGACATAAGCTGAGTTTCTTCCTGCAGAGAGAATGAAGTGGTGGTTTTGAGCTACTGCTGAGCACAACAGCCCCAAACTACCCGCTGCTTAGATTGAATTCATCATTCCTCTGCTTCTGGTTGGGTCAGGCAGCTGGTGGTAAGGGAAACCACACCAGAGAGCGTACACATAGGAAATCATCCTCAGCACGCTTCCAACATGCAGCAATGTGGCTTCACAGGTACAGAGATGGGTTTCCTGGGAGCTCTGCAGTTTCATTCTCATCCACACCCTGAGGTGCAAATGCTCACGTGCTCAACAGCAAAAAGCATTCCAGAGGAGGACAGCAGCGTGTTTCGTTCCCATCACTGACAAGCTTGGAGTTTCTCTACTTTAACATCCTTCTCTTCCTTTCCAGACCAACGCACCATGGAAAACCACACCACAGACTTAGACAACTGGGAACAGACAACAGGATATGACTACGGTGATGCAGTACCGTGTGAGGGAACAGAGGAAAAGCACTTAGCAGAGAAGCTTTTGCCACCGCTCTATTCTTTGGTGGTGATTTTTGGCCTCACAGGCAACATGCTTGTTGTCCTTATCCTGGTAAAATACAAGAGATTGAGGAGCATGACTGACATCTACCTGCTCAATTTGGCAATTTCTGATTTGCTCTTTGTATTTTCTCTCCCTTTCTGGGCTTATTATGCTGTCCACGGCTGGATTTTTGGAGAGGCGCTGTGCAGGATTCTCTCCGGTGTCTACCTCCTTGGCTTCTACAGTGGGATCTTCTTCATAATCCTGTTGACCCTAGACAGGTATTTGGCCATAGTGCACGCAGTGTTTGCTTTGAAAGCCAGGACAGTTACCTACGGCATCCTCACCAGCGTGGTCACTTGGGCGGTTGCAGCGTTTGCTTCCGTTCCTGGCATGGTATTCCACACAACTCAGAAGGAAAACGCACGTTACACCTGCAGTGCTCACTATCCATCAGAGCAGAGAGATGTATGGAAGCAATTCCTGACCTTAAAAATGAACATCCTGGGACTGGTTATCCCAATGTTCATTATGATCTGCAGCTACACGCAAATTATAAAGACATTACTGCAATGTAGGAATGAGAAGAAACATAAAGCGGTCAGGCTGATCTTTATCATCATGATTGTCTACTTTGTTTTCTGGGCACCGTACAACATCTGCATTTTCCTGCGTGATTTTCAAGGTGCCTTTTTCATCAACACTTGTCAAGGCAGTGGTCAACTGCACAAAGCGATCCAAGTGACAGAAACGCTCTCCATGATCCATTGCTGCATCAACCCTGTCATTTATGCCTTCGCTGGGGAAAAATTCAGGAAGTACCTCCATAGTTTTTTCCGAAAGCAGCTTGCATTCCACTTCCCTAAATTCTGTCCCGTTTTCTATGTTGACACAGCTGAACGGGCCAGCTCCACCTACACGCAGTCTACTGGGGAACAAGAAGTTTCTGCTGCCTTGTAAGCTGTGCCCAGCAAAAAGGGGGAATTGACTAGCGTGGAATTAAGTCTGTGATGGAAACCTGCAGAATCTGTCCTGGATTTTGGCTCCAAGGTAGCTGCAAAAGACCACAGAATGCATGTTTACCAAAGCTTGGTTTTGGTCATGTATTTGGGTATTTGTATGTAAATAGCTTTAAACTGAAACAGGGGAAGTTCAGGTTGGATCTAAGGCAGAAGCTCTTCCCTGGGAGGGTGCTGAGGCGCTGGCACAGGGTGCCCAGAGAAGCTGTGGCTGCCCCATCCCTGGCAGTGCTCAAGGCCAGGTTGGACACATGGGGCTTGGAGCAAGCTGCTCTAGTGTGAGGTGTCCCTGCCCGTGGAAGGGTGTTGGAACTGGATGAGCTTTAACATCCCTTCCAACGTAAACCCTTCTTTGTTTCTATGATTAATGAAAAGGATGCATCAAATTAGCTACCTAGATATGCTCACCTGTACGGGGGAAAAAGGTGTTCGCTTTTTTTGTGTGACTGCAAAAGCATGGGTTTGTATCAGAGAGCCCAAAATCACACAAAAGCTGGGGGCCTAAGCTAGCAGGCTCATGAACTGGTTTTTTGAAGTGAACTAGAGGTTAGGAATTCACACTGGTTCTTCGGACAGATCTCTTGACTGTACCTTATACAAGGTATCTCACTCATTTAAATCAGTCTCAGTCACAGCTTTTACTAAGCCTGGTTGTATATCTCTGTAAATAATGCTAAATTACTGAGGTCTGTGATAGAGAATCCTTACAAGTGGTATGGGAAAGTCTTACACATTTAGAATAGACTCTGATAGTTCAAGGTATATTTTCCTTTGTGTATGGCTGAGTACCAATCTCTTGGATCTTTCTCATAATAGCTTTGATTACTAGGTGTTGGTATCTGAGTGACTTAAGAGTTTGATATTTCAGCAAGCTCTCTCTTAATCAACTGCTGCTTTATATGCTATTTGTACTAAAAAGCTAATCCAATGACCTATCATTGATCAGAAAAACCCATGTGTTTATGATACCTTAAAAATAAAGCACTGCACATGGAGTTTTAACCAGGCTACATCAAATACGGCTGAATCAACACAGGTTTAGCTTTTTAGTGCAGTGATTTTGCTTGCCATTTTTCTAGCCTACATAAGAGAATAACTTTAAAATCTCAAAGGAACACAGCCGCAATGGCTGCAAAACCACAACAGCATCAGAGGTGTGAAAATGATGTCTGAACAGGGCTGACCCAGATGTTTTCAGTGATAAACACATGATATAGACATTTAAATTATTGAAACATACGAGTAAGTAAAAATATTCACTGTTCTACAGACTACAGCATCTCTTTTCTGTTTTAGAAGCAGGCTTTTTCTGCCCTTTAGGAGTTTTACTGAGATAAAAAGCTTCCATAATTAGTAAGACTGGTGGACAAATAGGATTGGGGTTCCCCTTAAAGCTCAGATGCTACAAAGCACTTGAACATGTAGAAAAGATGAAATGAAAGGGGAATACTCGTGTTCTTAAGATCACAGTATTAATTTAGGACAAATTGTCCTTCCAAGCATTTCCTGTATTCCCCCTAATATATGTGGGTTTGGACAACTGTGTAGACAGGAAATTAAAACTGAGGATTTTGATTTCCATCAGAGCAATTTCTGTTTCTCTGCTCCTCTAGATAACCTCATAAATATTATTTTTCAAAGAAGCAACTGTTTTAAGCAGCCCCAAAGAGGTTTTACATTGCCATGTGCTTGTGAAAGCAGGAAGTAAAATAGGGAAATCTCTGCTTAGCAAACCACTTGGTTGAAGTTATTCAGTTTTGTCATATTAAGCCCCACTTTTGGACTACATCCCCATGGGAACTGGAACAGAAGTATGCTGCAACTTCTGATATACAAGATCTTCAGCTGCATGTAAGACCCTGCACATCTGTTACTTTCTGGACTTTGCATATGCCTTTAAAACACACATCAGTATAAGCAGAAACTGGGTACTTTCAGCATCATTTGGATGTTTCCAAGTGACAAGCAGCTTCCAGAGGGAAGATGTGGAACTGAAGAGATTGGTGGCCCAGTGCCTCAGCAGCTTATCAAGACTTGCTATCCCATCACTGAGAAGGGACCACACTTCAGCAAATGAGAATAAACCAGATTTCAGCTACTGTAGTGAGCTGTGCTCCACATTCAAGGAGACAATAGAGAACACAGTGCCTGGTAGCTCTGCTGGTACGTTCAATTATAGACTGCCAATAGATTGTAATAATGTTTTGTATTATACAAGCCATTAAAGTTGGTTAACTTTCTTGTGTTAGACTTCTTGATCTCCCCCCGTTAATTGAACATAAATTCCCTATCTAATGAAGACAAATTCCTCTTCATAACAGGTTGCTGAAAGAGTAGGCAGGATGAAGTCAGGGGTTTACAAGTGGACTAAGAACCAGCATGATCAGATAACACAGGACCACCAAGATGACTCCAGTGCTCTTAACTGCTTGCCACTAATAATCTGATGCTAAATATGCTAGTTTGGTCATCGTTACATTTGGTTTTCTTTATTTTTACCGATGGTAAAAGCACTATCTCACACAATTCACGCTGATCCTAAAAGACTAAGTGTTTGTAAAATAAATAAGCATGCAAAAGAATTGTTAAGTGTGTTTAGTGACCGAACACCTCAGCCACAGCAGACTTGAGCACACACTTCCCTTCAATTCCTAGGATTACGGTGCCATCCTGTGGCCACACCGTATTGTTTCATGCTATCAAATGGGGTGGGTTGGAAGGGACCTTAAAAGCTCATCCAATTCCAACCAGGGACACTTTCTGCTAGACCAGGTGCTCCAAACCCCGTCCAATCCGGCCTTGGACACTGCCAGGGATGGGGCTTAGGAAACACTCTTGGCCACTACGAAAGGAGGACCATTGATGGGTGGGCATGGTCACCCTTTAACGGTGGTCCAAGTGGGATGTAAGAGAAGTGAGGCTTGGTGTCAGCACAAGTTTTGCACGCCCTCAAATTGTCCGGATTCCAGCCATCTGCTCTGGAAGGGGAGCATTTGGCACTCTTGTCCATGAAGCGACAAGAATAAAACTACATTCCCTGCCATTATTTCCTTTGGAAAGACAGAAAGGATTGAAACTTGGATGGCAACGGGATGCTCACGCTTCCAACCTCCCGCAGCCCCTGGCAGCTGTGACACTGTCCCTAGCACAGCACCGACACCCCAAGCCTATTCCATGTAGCCTCCCCGATGGACTCAGAGGGGGGTTTAGGAGACTAGTTTCTGGGGGTGCCGAACTGCGGAAGCAGTATTTCCCGACAGTTCCTATGGCAGCAACGACTCCCGACCCGGAGAGGCTTCTCTGGAACTACTGCTAACGGGGAGGGGGGAAAGGAGGGGGGAAAGGAAGAGGGAAAGGAGGGGGAAAGGAGGGGCGGAAGGGGGGAAAGGAAGGGGGGAAAGGAAGGGGGGAAAGGAGCGGAAAGGAAGGGGAAAAGGAGGGGGAAAGGGAGGGGGGAGGAAGGGGGGAAAGGAGGGGGGAAAGGAGGGGGAAAGGAGGGGGGAAAGGAGCAGAAAGGAAGGGGAAAAGGAAGAAGGAAAGGAAGAGGGAAAGGAGGGGGAAAGGAGGGGGGGAAGGAAGGGGGAAAGGAGGGGGGAAGGAAGGGGGGAAGGAAGGGGGGAAAGGAAGGGGGGAAAGGAAGGGGGGAAAGGAGGGGGGGAAGGAAGGGGGAAAGGAGGGGGGAAGGAAGGGGGGAAAGGAAGGGGGAAAGGAGGGGGGAAGGAAGGGGGAAAGGAGGGGGGGAAAGGAGGGGGGGAAAGGAAGGGGAAAAGGAAGGGGAAAAGGAAGAGGAAAAGGAGGGGGTGAAGCCACCACCCCCATCGAGCTACCCCCCGAAACGCACGCAGGGTCACGCAGAGTCACGCAGCGACGTGGCACCGCCCACCTCCCCGCCCACTGCCGCCTGGCCCCGGTCCGCGCCTGCGCAGAGCAGTGAGCGCTGCTTTCCCGCTCTCTGCGGGTAGGGGTTTGTGTCCTGCTGTGGGGCCGGGACTGGGACTGGGACTGGAACTGGAACTGGGACTGGGACTGGGACTGGGACTGGGACTGGAACTGGAACTGGAAGGGGGGTGTGTGTGTGCGGTTGAACCGGCGGCACCCGGCACCCGGTGCGGAGCAGGGCACGGTGGGTGCGCGGGACCCCTTCGTGAGGAGGTGGCCCTGTGGTAAAGGGCCTCCCGGTGGGCCCCTTACTCCTCCTTCGGCCTGGGGCGGGCCGGTGAGGATCAGGGGCAGGAGGGGGTTCCGGGCTAGGCCGTAATGCTAGGAGGCTTACTGGACTTTGCTTCTCAGTTAAAGAATGAAACGCAGTAAGGAGCTGGTTTTTGTGAAGTTCATAAAGTCTGCTGCGAGCTCGGAGTATTTCTATAAAGCTCTTGAGGTAAGTAGGTTTGATCGCTTTTCTGAGTGAGCTTGGTGAGGCATTAAATGATTTCTCTGGTTGGCTTAGATGTAACTTACATGCATACATAAATAAAGCTACTTCCGGTGTTTCATAAAGTTTGATGGGCGCTTTTATTGAAGAAGTTGCTTCCTGAACAAGAAATAATTGTAATTTCAAAACCTGTTGACATTTAGTGAAGTGGCATGTAGCTTAAGTGGTCTGGATGGGCGTCACTCATCTAAACTAAGCAGACTTAATCCACCTTGAGAGGATAGTGGGAGCTAAGGGCACTGTGTGGTCCTGAAAGTGTGTGTGGTGAAGAATCCGGGGAATAAGGGTGACACCTATGAGGTGTTTTAGCCCTTTCTTTTGCCAGTGTACTCCTGTGTGGTAGCTTTGCAGTGAGCTGTTTCAGGCAGATGTACTTATGTAGCTTCCACAGGATTGGCTGTTTGTGATTTGATAATCAAGTAAGTGGTGGTGTATATGCTGTTTCCCTGCAGTCTATGAAAGAATTTCAGTCAGAAGAACATCTCCAGATCCTTGACGAAGGGACAGCGCTCAATATAAGAGAAAATGATAAATCGCTTTACATTTGTGATCCTTTCACAGGTGTCGTTTTCAATCATCTCAAACAGGTATGATACCCATCAACTTACTTCTACCTATATTCTCTTCTAGAAGCATAGGTGCCCCTATTTTGTATGCTCTTTTTACACTGAATACAGCAGTATGAAGTATTCACAATAAAGTCTTTGAAGCTTCACTGTGTTCTGTGTTTAAGGAGGATGACTAGCAAAGCATAAGGAATATTTTGAAGCATGTGCAAAAATAAATGGCATGATCGGTTCTGATTCTGGTGGAGTTTTAAGCTGATTTTCACACCTTTTTGCCTCCTGAGTAATATGATTTTGTTTGACATGCAAGGAATAGCTGGAATTCTCTGGCATGTTAGCTTATACCATCTGCTGCTTTTTACTGAGGTCAGAAAACCTACAAGGATTGTACTGAAATCCACAGCTGAAAGAAAACCAAAACTGTCAACTACCTAGAGATGCTAAAGGAGTACAGACCAGGGGTCCTGCCTTCCTCAGGATTCAGAGACAAGGAAAACCTTTCTGATACCATTGTACCTTCTGCTAATTCTTTTTCCCCCTGTTAATTTATTGCAGCTTGGCTGTAGGATTGTTGGACCACAGGTAGTCCTGTACTGTATACAGGCCCAGAGATGTGTCCCAAGAGCTGAGTATCCCGTGTACAACATGACCATGGTCGATGTAACAGTATCCTGTACCAGCCTTGAAAAGGATGTTAGGGTAATGCTTTGTACAAAATAGATTGCTTAGGTGGTTGTCATTGACATTTGCTTCAGATGGATCACTGCTACAGCAGCAGTCATGCTGTATCTAAGTTTTACTGTGCCTCTGTCTGGATTCGTCTGCTGTAGTTCGTACACTACATATAATTTATGTAGGGAGTTGTATGGGGAAAGAAGGAGTTGTAGATGTAGTGTATAAATGTGTATCTCTCTGGTGGTTTATCCATGCATGCACATATATATATTATATAAGCATATATATATGTGTAGTTATAGAAGATTTCAGCTGTATTAATATGGGGGTACATGGAGGGTTTAGGGATTTTTATTAACTGATGAGACAGATCACTTATCTTGCTGGTTTATCTGTGGCTGTAGTGCTGCAGGCAGCATGCTCTGTTTCTGGTTACTCAAAACTACATAGTAAAGATCTGCTACCCAGGCAGCTATGGTTTAATTTGAAGTTGACCTTTTAGTTATTCCAGTATCTCTTTTTAATATATAGTACCGAAGATGTCAACCAGCCATAAAATTTTACTTGTACCATATGAATGTAGTATTTATATTAAGGATGTGTATTATGTTCAGCTTATCATAAATACAAATCAAATGTAAACTATATTTGATGGGTTTTTTATGGCTTCCATATAGATCCATTTTGTGTTTTGAACCATTTTTTAGGAGAAACCATGGACTACTGAAATCCACGATTTTGGTTTTTAAGGTGAATCATAGAATCAACTAGGTTGGAAAAGATCTTTTAAGATCATCAAGTCCAACTGTAGAACATAAGTACTGTAGGTTTTCTTTTTTCTTCATAATGTTCTGTATTTTTTTCCTCACTCAGGAAGAAGTTCATAAATATGTACAGCTGATGGGTGGACGTGTGTCCAGAGACCTCAGTGTGGCAGTAACTCACCTGATAGCTGGAGAAGTTGGCAGCAAGAAATACGTAGTAGCTGCTTCCCTGAAAAAACCTGTTTTGCTTCCGGCTTGGGTTAAGACTCTGTGGGATAAGTCTCAGCAAAGGTATAAAGAAACTAAACAAAACCAGTTTTGTTTTGGAGACTGCTAATTCTTATGCAGATACAGTCTGCTTTCCTTTTCTGGTTGATTTTACTTGGAAGAAAAACTGTTTCTTTTTCTCTCTTCCTCCTTTAGCATAATGACATACACTGATGTTAACATGGATGATTATGCTTGTCCTGTGTTCCTTGGCTGTACAATTTGTGTAACTGGCTTAAACACTTCAGACAGGAAAGAAGTCCAGCGCCTCACTGTTGAACATGGTGGACAATATACGGGGCAGCTCAAGATGAATGAATGTACTCATCTCATAGTTCAAGAGCCAAAAGGTAGGACCTGCAGAGTAAACATTATTCTCACTTCTTGAGTGGAAGTAGTGTAAATATGTATGAGAGTTTAAACTGTCAGTTTGCTTCAGTGTTGCTCTCACTGCTGCTGTTTAGGGGAGCACTGTTCATAAAAAGAGTAACACAGGGCACCCTGACTTTGCTGTAAAGGCTTGAGAAAGAGAACCAAAGAGCAAAAGAACAGAGACTCAGATGGTATTTAAGGAAAGAAAAAGGGAGACTCCAAGAGGGGATGGAAGAATAAGGAAAAACTAAGTTTTTTGGGAGAGCTGCATAGGACTTAATTTATATTCTGATTGAAATTGTGTTGTGGACTAATGTTTTTTTATCTGATCTGTTCTGTGTGCCTTCTGAGCACCCTACTAAGGTAAAATGAAAGCTTCCTTAAGCTACTTTTCTTTCCTCTTGGGAAGATGAAACAATTGTAGTTTTATTGTGAGAAGAAATTTTTCCCCAATTTCCCTCCCTTTTCCTATGGGGAAATATCCTTGGACTTCATAAGCTTTCTTTTTCCCTGTGCATGAAAGCTTTAAAGCCCTTTTTATAATTTTACTTTAGTGTCCTGTCATATTGTACCCTTGAGCTAATCATCAATGAGAGTTTTTGCTCTAACTTTATTTCGAGAATAAATAAGCAGCTTATCAGAAGAGTCCAGGATAACACAACCTGCACATTGAAATCATGAATTTTTAACTTTTGTTCATGTCCAGCCACCTTGTAGTGATCACTTTTTGACAGCATTTTGGTGATCTGTGGTTTGTGTTTTTGCTTACATTTGAAAGGTCAGAAGTATGAATGTGCTAGAAAATGGAATGTGCATTGTGTGTCTATCAAGTGGTTTTCTGACAGCATCGAGAAAGGCTTCTGTCAGGATGAGACAATGTATAAAATAGAAGCTGGATCAAAACTGACACCCAGTACATCAACACCTACGAGTGATGTTGGGAAGCCTGATAGTAAGTAAGACCTTTTAAAATACATTTAAGGTAGGAAACGTGTAGTAAGGAAGAAAGACTGTTCCTAATTAGTAGGGCACTGCTTGCTTTTGCAATGCTGGTTTGGCAGTTTGGGCTCTGATTCTACTTATGCTTAAAACACAACAGATTACTTCTATGCATATAGAATATTCCAATGTGTGTAGACTTAACATGTGAATACTTAAAAAGTAGACTTGAATTAGGCACAGGATTGTCTGTTTAAGAATCAGTGGTGTGTATCTCCTAGAAAAGCATGACTGTTCATACATTTATAGGTTAAGATGAGTCTGTTATGATTTTAATCTCAAAAGCAGTTTTGGGGAGGGGGGAAACAAATGCTGATTTTGTTTTAATTATTAATTTTCTGGGTTTTTTTAATTTTTATTCTTTTTTTTACTTTAATCCATGCTGTTGTCATAAGGAAAACTAAAAGCATTTTGTAAACAAACATGAAAGCAGCATGAAAGACCCAGTTGGCTTTAAATGTGCCTTTCCAAACACCTATTACTGCCTGGGACTTCAGGAAGTGACTAAGCAGGAGCTCTGGGTTAGCACTACCAAAAGAGCATTGGGAATTCAAGTTAGGTATTATGGAAACTGCATATAACTCTTAACATCATTGGACTTCATGTTGATTTCTTTTTACTATAGAGAGGATTATCTGTTTTTAAGAGTGTTTCTAATAGGTGAGCACAAAACTGGGATAAAAGCTTTGAAAACTGCTAGTAAGACTGTACTCAGTCTGCGTATAAATAAAGCCCTTGGTTTAACCAGTCATACTTCTCTAGCGTTTGTTGTTATTCAGATTTATGTTTCCTTCTATCACAACAAAATCATACATGGCAGTTTTGTGTTCTGTTTAGTGAAGCAGCAGAGAAAGATGAATCAAAACTAACACCTCCTATTTAATTTTTGTTACAGATCATGCCCTTCCAGATGTCAGCCACATTTCCAACATCAATCTGAGTAGTGTTAATGAAACCGAATTCAGCTCTGCTCTGAGCAGCAGGCAGGATCCTCTTCCTGATGAGCTGGAAAACTTGGATATAAGTTCCTTTCAAGCCCCCGAAGATCTGTTAGATGGGTGTCGAGTATGTTTAACAATGTCTGCTTTGAAATGTTCAGCCTTTAACCCTGTGGCAGCATCTAGGTTGAAGCTGGCAATTGCTGCTTGAGTAAATTGTTTCCATGGTCAGCAGCAAACGCCACATTTCTTTTGTGTCGACATGCTGTAGTTTGCATGTGTGTCTAACTGTATGTGTGTGTGTGATTGTATTAAATACGCAGTATAAGTACAAAATGACATAGACATATATTTAAACGCTATAGAGAGTGGCTGGGGGTTCATTCCATTAGTAAACACTTTGCTCGATTTATGCACAGAGATAAATGAATCGAGTTCTAAATGCTTAACTTTGTTGCTGCTTCTCAGAAGCTATACCACTTGTTTCTGTGTTCTACAGCAGTCAAATTATACCAAAATATTCTTTTTTTCTTTTCTTTCTTTTTTTTATTTTCCTTTTTTTCAAAGCCTTTTTTGTTGCTCTGTTCCCTTTGCAGATATATCTCTGTGGCTTCAGCGGCAGGAAGTTGGACAAGATGAGGCGGCTTATTAATTGTGGTGGTGGTGTTCGATTTAATCAACTTAATGAAGATGTTACCCATGTCATTTTGGGGGAAAATGATGAGGAGCTGAAACACTTCTTGGACAAGATGTCTCACAGGTTATAGTAACTTTGTTGCTTAAGGTCTACTTCTAGATTGTTTTCTTTCTCCCACCACCCTGTAGAAAGGATAACCAGTTCTTCAGTGAGTATTCATAAGTACATCCTCATGGGTTCTTGAATACTGTAGTTCTTTGGGTAGCTATGAGTCACCTCAGGAAATAGAAGAACAGTATTCTAATTGTTGAAAAGAAGTGTTAACATGTATTTGTTAATATATTGAGGAGGAAAGGGTTTGGTAACCCTGCAGTGGCAGATATACTTCACATTATAGAAAATGAGTATGAAATTCTTTGGGTTTAGACTCAAAGAATGAAAAACCAACCAATCAAACAATAAACTTGAGGTTTGCAAAGTGCCCAAAGCTTTTTAGTATTGGAGTTACAAAATTCGTGTGTGTGTATTTACTAGTATTTGTGGAGTAGGAAAGAAGAATAACAGGTTTGAAACCTGCTGTAACTTGTGTGTGTCATACTTCATTTTATAGGCCTCACGTAGTCACAGCAAAATGGTTGCTGGACTCATTCAGTAAAAATAATCTACAGCCAGTGGAGCAATATATCCCTGTAAACTATCAGCTGTTAGAGAATCCAATTTTGGAGCAACCTGGAATGAAATCAGTTCTTCCCAAAAATAACAGTCTCTTGAAGAAAGAAGCTGTGAATGTTAGAAAGCATCAGAAAGCTGCTGAAGATGATGTCCTCTCTCAATATGTAACTAATGATTCTACATTAGGTATGTTCTGGTCTCAGCATACCATAGAAAGTTTAACTGCTCATGATTATTAGCATGCAAGTCCTGCAGCATTTTGTTATTAAGAAGCTAGCCACAGCTAGTGTGTTTTAGAAATCAGGCCTATATAGAGCAGTTTTAACTAAACCTGGCTGAAAACAGCAGAATCATAGAATGATGTGGGGTGGAAAGGACCTTAGGATCATCTGGGTCCAACCCCCTGCCACGGGCAGGGATACCTCACACTAGAGCGGGTTGTTCTGAGTTCCATCCAACTTGGCCTTGAACACTGCCAGGGATGGGGCAGCCACAGCTTCTCTGGACAACCTGTGCCAGTGCCTCAGCACCCTCACAATGTATAACTTCTTCCTTTCATTTGCCCCCAGTGTCCCCTGTTTAAGTACTATAGTTTCTTCATGAAACTATTTTGAGTTGTCTTTAATTTTCTAATCAAGCAATTACTGGTTTTGGTTGGTTTAGATTTATTATTTTTTCCCCTTTCAGATGAAGCTGGAAAACTAACATCCAGAACCTTCAGTGATGTTACTCACTTGACTGTTCAAGGAGAGAATGAATCTTCCATCCATAGTGGTTTTCTGGGAGAGTCGTCTGCACTAGCTGAAGAAGGACTGTTTGTCAGAAAGAGCTTTCTTCTTCTGGGTTTTGGTGAAGAGGATGAGTCTTGCATTGCAGATATTATAAAGGAGAATGCTGGGAATGTCCTGCCACTGCAAAGCAGAACCCTGGCAGACTATGCAGTGGTACCTTTACTGGGGTGCACAGTGCAGATGACTGTTGGTGATGTTGTCACAAACACATGGCTGGTAAGGGAGTTACACTGTCAGTTCTGTGAGTAGACATTTATCTATTAGAGATATGTCTTGTCAGTATACAGAGTTATGAGTGGCTTAAATATAAGTAAGATTCTGAGAGATTAGCCTTGTTGCTTTTGATGTGTACTAAATGAAAGCATGCTTTAAAGTGTCTGCATTGATAAGTAATCTTTTATCTGTTCCACTTCGTTTTCTACTGGCTTGTTAAACAGACTTCATTGTCATGACTCAAAGGCTCCTTATATGACAGTCTGACAGCATTCTCTCTAACTAATAATTGTAGAAGGAGCCATTTGACTAATAATGATTTCATATGATATCTTTGTGCTTAACTTTTTCTTGTTTCATGCTTTTTACAGCTTTTTAATTGCAAGTCAGCTTCATAGCTCAAAGTCAAATACTAACCTTATTTGCCAAGAGTGTGCACATGATGTAGACTAACTGCTATTAGTATTTCTCAGTACTAGGTAGCTTTCTGTGAAGTAAATCTATGCAGAATCTTAGGACATGTCTTAAAACTACTTTCAGGGAGCCTTCAGGGTTGGAAGCGTAGTAACTGAAAAGCTCTGAATAATGCCTCAGTATGTCAGACCTGACAAAATCCTTCAGGGAAGAATTTGTCTGATTCAATGGGAAATACTTTGTCTCAGATGTAAGGATGGACCCAGAATTGCTTGCTGTTGAGTCCATAAATGCTATAGTACAGTTACTGAAATATTGTTGGCTTTGTTGCTATTTGGCTTGATTTGTGTTTTATTCTCTTTCGCTTTCATTAAGTTAACATGTGTGGAACAGCAGTTCCTTTTAGATCCTCAGTCCAATCCACTTTTCACACCAGTCCCGGTAATGGAAGGAGTTACCCCTCTGGAAGATTGTGTTCTTTCTTTTAGCCAGTTCACTGGTGCAGAGAGAGACTCTCTGGTTTGTCTGGCAGGACTGCTAGGAGCCAGGTATGTCTTCTGTCACCCTTTTTTCTTGTTCTTAGACAGCCATTGTTAAGAACAACATACTTAATCACGAAGTGGCCGTTTCATACATTGTGTATATTCTTACTGTACAACTTAGAATATCATTTGATCTGATTTGTGGTCTGTTTGGACTAAATTCTCTGCCTGTGAGTTCTCAGTCCTGTGTCATCTTGGAATATGGGTCCTTGATGATAAGATAAAAACTAATATGAGGAAAAGTATTGTTCATTTGAAAACGATGGTTGTTGGCCATTGAACTGTGTTCAAGGCCAGGTTGGACAGAGCCTTGGGCAAGATGTTCTTTTGTGAGGCATCCCTGCCCACGGCAGGGGGTTGGAACTGGATGATCTTAAGGTCCTTTCCAACCCAAGCCACTCTGCGATGCTATGATTTGAAAATGGGATATGTGAGGATTTCTAGAGTATGAGAAATGTTATGGGTTTTTTTGCCTGTAAGTGTAGGGTAGGTTAAGTTACAATGTGGATGGTCTTAGATAATTCTATAGGTCCTTTTTCTGTTGCTTGAATGCACTTTACAATAGTATAAATCTGCCCTAAATGAATTTTGTTTATGACTAAATGAAGATTTTATGGCTCAATGAGTATTTTATTAATCTGATTTTAGAGTCCAAGAATTCTTTGTGCGGAAAGCCAATGCAAAAAAGGGCATGTTTGCCAGTACCCACCTTGTGGTGAGAGAAGCGGATGGTTCTAAATATGAAGCTGCAAAGAAGTGGAATTTACCAGCAGTCACTGTAGCTTGGCTTTTGCACTCTGCAAGGACAGGAAAGAGAGCAGATGAAAGCAAGTTCTTGGTGGAAAATGCAGAGGCTGAAGGTTGGTTATTAGCAAGTTAGGGAATATGGTTGTGTCACATCACTGTTCATTCATAATGAAGAGTATAGGTAGTATGAATTTTTCTTCCCTGACACATTTGAAGTATTAGAGCTATAGGATATTTTTCCAAGTATTTTTCCATATTTCTTTCTCCTGCTGTTGAGTTGTGATTACAGAAACAATACTGTGCATTTGCTCTAAGTATTTTGGAGCAAGCTAGTGGATTCTTGTAGTTATCAATCAGTTGGGAATCTGGCTCAGTTGCTCAGCTTTGTCCTTTTGGACACATTCTGCTCTGTAGGTTGCTTGGGAATTGATGGTAGATCCCGCTTAGAACTTCATACTTGTTAGTTTGCAATGACATGATGCCCCTCTGATGCCTGCTTCATGTTCTGAAGCTTCTGCTCCTTTTACTTCATGCTTTTTATTTGGCAATATTTCTTCCATATCTAATGATTCAGTGATTTAATACTGAATGCTAGCAGACCTGTACTACCAGTGCCCTTGTGAATTAGTTATATGGATCACTTAGAGAACAAAAATACGTTGTTGGCATAGGCATGTTTTCCCTGTATATTACATTTTTAAGGAAAAAAAAAAAGAAGGGGAAACGGGGAACATGAGCAATAAAATATAAAAGCAATTCTTGCGCTAATGTTTTTGAGCTATGCTTAAATAGAAGCATTTATGATGGAGAACCTTTGAGGGCTTATTGCTGTCTAAATTTCAGTCCTATTTATCCGAAGGCATAAAGGACTGGAAGTGTATGCAGTGACCTAAAGAGGTGTGATTAAGAGTCATGACATTTTACATTGCTTGGGAAGTAAGGAGCCAGAGAGGAAATGCCTTTAATGTTGAAAGGGAAGAATTTGTTGTGTATTACATCTGTATTTTGGTAGTTGTATGAGGTGTATGAGCTATACAGGGATGTGTGGAACTGTGTGAGCAGACCTGGGCTTGCTCTCTCCTTTTCAGACACTTAGGGTGTCTCAGTATTGACACTCAGTGCCAGTGTAGTTAATGGAAGTAGTTAACTGGAAGAGACACTTACAATACTGGCTTTTAAAATGGAACTGTCAGTTTCAAGCATTTATTGGAGAGGATATGAATTATATTTTTTTTTAGGGAAAGAAAGGTCAGATGAACTTCTTGTTTAAATGAGAGTATATGTGAGATCTCTGTTAAAAATCGATTGCTTGCTTATGTTTTCTTTGCTTCTTTTAAAGATAAGGAGAGTTCCATTACTCAGCTTAGCAAGACACCAACAACTGTTAAATCTCCTGATGTGAAACAATATAATTACCTCCTTGAAGTTGGAAGAAAAAAACCTGTGACTCCTCTTGATATCAGCAGGTTCCAGAGTAAAGCTTTCCAGGCTGCCATCTCTCGTCACATGGGGAATACAACCCCTCTTGCCCAAGGGGGAGTGCTACAGAAAGAGCCGTCTTTACATCTTGATACACCATCAAAATTTCTTTCCAGGGACAAGTTGTTCAAGCCTTCTTTTGATGTAAAGGTGATCATCATTGCATATTCTTTAGTCTGTAAAGCCAGTAAAGATGTGTATAATCTTAAAACAGCTCAGAAACCTTTGCTTACCCTGTTTCATGCTCTTAACATGTAGACTTTGCATTTTCAATGCTGGAGGGGGACCCTTCATCAGGGACTGTAGTGATTGGACAAGGGGTGATGGGTTCAAACTGAAAGAGGGGAAGTTCAGGTTAGATCTAAGGCAGAAGTTCTTCCCTGTGAGGGTGCCCAGAGAAGCTGTGGCTGCCCCATCCCTGGCAGTGTTCAAAGCCAGGTTGGACAGAGCCTTGGGCAACATGATCTAGTGTGAGGTGTCCCTGCCCATGGCAGGGGGTTGGAACTGGATGATCTTAAGGTCCTTTCCAACCCAAGCCAAGCCAGGAAAACTGGCTCTGCTTACACACACACACACATATATTGTATTAATATATATAGTTAATGACCTGTGGACCAAATTTATTGACTAGTAGATGCAATAATGTTCTTAACAAATCTCCTTTGTGCCCACTGCATCATATGCTTGTGTGTTCTACACCTCACACAGTATGCAATCTGTGTTTTCATTTTTGAGGCCTTAAGTGAAAGATCAGTGCATTGAGTTCCTGCAGAGTTGTTAGGTTTTTCTGGGGTTTGTTTGTAGGTTGGCTGTTTTGATGTGGTGTTGTTTTTCGGGGTGTTTGGGGATTTTTTGGGGTTGTTTTGTTGGTTTTGTGGTTTTGGTTTGTTTCAGGTTTTTTTTAATGCCTCTGCCTGCAATAAAACAAAACCTGTATTACCAAACCAGAAGAATTCAGTGTTCTGCTTCATGAAGAGAAGACTCCAAGAAGACCTTATAGGACCCTTCTAGTACTTAAAGGGGGCCTGCAGGAAAGATGGGGAGGGACTCCTTATCAGGAGTGTAGTGTTAGGATGAGGGGGAATGGCTTTAAACTGAAAGAGAGTAGATTTAGATTAGACATTAGGCAGAAGTTCTTCCCTGTGAGGGTGCTGAGGCTCTGGCACAGGGTGCCCAGAGAAGCTGTGGCTGCCCCAACCCTGGCAGCGTTCAAGGCCAGGTTGGACAGGGCTTTGAGCAAGCTGGTCTAGTGAAAGGTGTCCCTGCCTACAGCCGGGGGTTGAAACTGGATGAGGTTTTTAAGGTCCTTTCCAACCCAAACCAGGCTGGGATTGAGTGATTCTGTGATTCAGTTTGGTGCCCTGCTTTTCAAAATCTGATAGTTTACACTGGTATTTTCAAAAGTGACATACTCTAGACCAAAAATTCTCCTTCTTAAAAAGGTGCAGGTAGAATCACATACTCATATGCAACTTTTGTGGGAGGTATTAGTAAATTAAAGTAATAGATTGGGGTTAAGAATACCAGGGTTTGGCCACTGGCTTTTCCACTGAAGGCAGTTTTCATTGATGCAATGAAAAGAGAGACTAATAATTTACCGTCCTATTTTGCTTTTATAATCTGAGATTGGGATTGTTTTGTACTGCCTTTGTACAGTGGTACTATAGTTGCACTTGCTAGCTTCTACTGTAGTATCCCGTCCTGGTTTAGGACATGTAATGTGGTCCTGAAAGTCACTTGCTTCTTTTTTGGTAGGATGCTCTGGCAGCTTTGGAAAGTCCAGTAGGTCCTGATCAAAAAACCAGGAAGCTGAGCACACCCCTCTCTGAAGTCATCAGCAGGAACTTGAAGTCGGCACTGGCAAACAGCACGAGGCATGCAGCAGCTCTGACTGCCAGCCCACATCTGACTGCTGCACAGCCAGAAGAGGTAGGAAACTTTGGGGTTTCTGTGAGGGTGCTGAGGTGCTGGCACAGGGTGCCCAGAGAAGCTGTGGCTGCCCCATCCCTGGCAGTGTTCAAGGCCAGGTTAAACAGAGCATTGGGCGACATGGTCTAGTGGAAGGTGTTCCTGCCCATGGCGGGGGGTTGGAAGTGGATTAGCTAATGATTCTATGCGGAGATTATGTTCCAGGGAAACTGGCTGAGGGTGAATCTTCAGCTTTTGGATTCCAAGTGCATGGAATTACAATAGTACTGGATTTTGACCTTGGATTTTGGGAGAAGTAAAAATGTGGTTAGTTTTCTTATTATTGCTTATTTTACTAAATGTGTGGTTCGATTGATACACTGGAGGGAAGGAATGCCATCCAGAGGGACCTTGACACGCTTGTGAGGTGGGCTGATACCAACCTTATGAAGTTTAACCATGCCAAGTGCAAGGTCCTACACCTGCGTTGGAGCAATCCCAGGCACAGCTACAGGTTGGGCAGAGAAGAGATTCAGAGCAGCCCTGCAGAGAAGGACTTGGGGGTGTTGGTTGATGAGAAAATGAACATGAGCCGGCTTCAGTGTGTGCTTGCAGCCCAGAAAGCCCCCGTGTGCTGGGCTGCATTAAAAGGAGCGTGACCAGCAGGTTGAAGGAGGTGATCCTGCCCCTCTACTCTGCTCTTGTGAGACCTCACCTGGAGCATTGTGTGCAGTTCTGGTGTCCTCAACATAAAAAGGACATGGAACTGCTGGAACAAGTCCAGAGAAGGGCCACGAGGATGATCGGGGACTGGAGCACCTCCCGTATGAAGATAGGCTGAGAACATTGGGGCTGTTCAGCCTGGAGACGAGAAGGCTGCGTGGAGACCTCAGAGCAGCCTTCCAGTATCTGAAGGGGCCTGTAGGGATGCTGGGGAGGGACTATTCATGAGGGACTGTAGTGACAAGACAAGGGGTAATGGGTTAAAACTTAAACAGGGGAAGTTTAGCTTGGATATAAGGAGGAAATTCTTTCCTGCTAGGGTGGTGAGGCACTGGAATGGGTTGCCCAGGGAGGTTGTGAATGCTCCATCCCTGGCAGTGTTCAAGACCAGGTTGGACAAAGCGTTGGGTGATATGGTTTAGTGTGAGGTGTCCCTGCCCATGGCAGGGGGGTTGGAACTGATCTTAAGGTCCTTTCCAGCCCTAACTATTCTATGATTGTATGTCATACTTAATATTAGAGTATTTTTGTGATTGATACAGAAACCTTCCATACATTATCTTCTGTTTTTATCCTTGCTGCTTGAACAGGTAGAAGAGCCCAAGCCTCTAGCAGATGTTGTTATTTATGTTAGTAAAAAACTGGGTAAGAAACAAAGTGAACTGAATGCAGTAGCAGCTTCTCTGGGGGCAGACTACAGGTATGAACTGATACAAACAACTTCTAAGCTTCTGCAGTGATGTAACATCTGATAAGTATGAATCTTAGGATTCTAATATGCTTTATCTACGTGAGCTTTTGCTATAGCTATATATTAGATTTCACCATCTTGAACAATTTCAATTGCAAATAAGGCCATCCACTACTAATGAGAAATAATGCTACACACATTCCCTGACACATCCCCAGTCTCTGTGGTCTTGATAAAAGTCTGTCTTGGGAAGACTGAAAAAGAATTATCTTGCAGGTTGTAAGCATGGCCACGTTGTGTGTGTAGAAAAGCTCAGGAAAAATAGGTTGTCATGGAAAGAATTTTTGGGATTTAAGACTGCTCCCACTAAATCCAATTTATGTGTTTTGTTACTGATTTCTACAGTAAGTGTTACTATTCACAGGTTGGATAGGTTACACTTATGTTTGGTTTAGAAATGCTGAAGATACTTGCATTAGGTAGCAAATACTAGGGTTTATTATCAGTTTAAGTGTTAGAATCCTGCATTTTGTATATTTTGAGCTTGGAGGATCAGTATTTCACTTGTAGCTGAGTACGTCAACCAGAGATAAAAGCTTTCTCATCCTGGGTCACATATTCTTTTCAGAAACTGATTTGAAACTCCACTTACTTACATAAACCCAAACCAAACCAAAGCAAAATTCCTCCTATTCCATGTGTTTATCACATTTGGTTTGTTTGCATCAGGAATGCTTTCAAAAGACACTGAAGTTGTTCAATCCTGAAACTGCTGTCTTTTTCTGATGATGAAAGTGGGCTCATTGCTTATTTAGGCATAACAAAATAGGCAAACCAGTATGTTAATGTGAACAAGGGATAGGACTACTTCTGCTTTGGATTTCTGATACTTTTTCATAGAAATGATATCTTGGAGTTACATTTGAAAATTATTTGAAATGATACCTTGAAGTTGTATTGGAAGGTGTCCCTGCCCATGACAAGGGGTTGGAACTGGATGATCTTAAGGTCCTTTCCAACCCAAACCAGGCTGTGATTCTGTTTCATTTTCTTTTCTAGATGGTGTTTTGATGAATCAGTAACACACTTCATCTACAAGGGAGGACAAAATGACAGTAATAAGGAGTACAAATCAGTTAAAGAACGGGGTATACATATTGTTTCAGAACACTGGCTTTTGGAGGTATGGAGCTTGCTTTGTAAAATTGAAGGGAAATGGAGTCTTAAAACCATTTCCCTTCATTTTTTCTGTTTTGCATTTATATTGAACATGTATACAGACTGATGTTTTGCATCCTGTTTTGAATATATAAATTCATCAGTATTCACTGATGTACTTTTACCTTGCTGTCCATGAGGAGGAAAGAAATTCTGTTCCATTGAACGTTTCTTCTGTGTCTTTCCCAGAAAGAGAACCATGTTTTTCTCTTGTGTAAAATACTTCTTTTTTGTGTTTTTATTATACTTTTCCTGTGTTTAGACGTGAAATTTCTTTTATCGTAGATCATTTTCTCATCTTTCTTACGTTAACTGATATTATTGCAGTGTGCCCAAGAATGTAAACGGCTTCCTGAATCTCTCTTTCCTCACACATACAATCCCAAAATGAGCCTGGACATCAGTGCAGTGCAAGATGACAGACTCTCTTCCTCCAGTAAACTTCCATCGACTGGAAAACCATCAGAGGAAACCGAGGTATAATGTGTGATGTGAATTCGTGTACTAAAAAGCAATTTAGATTCAGTTTGTTGTTATAATAACATATGGCAGGGGGTTGGCTGGAGGGTGTTAAAGGTCCTTTCCAACACAAACTATTCTATAAATAAAAAACATAGATGCTTATTCAGTGATGACCTGTATCAGGTTTAGCTAGTAATTAATAGTAGCTATTGCAGATGTTCTGCAAGGTTTTTCTGCATTTGTAATACTCTTCTTTGTAGTGCAGTGGACGGAAACACAGGCATTTTGGGCTTAGAAGCACTTCCCAGATTTGAAATGAATATAGGTCCAGTCTTCGCCTTCCCTTGTAGGTAACAAGATCCAAGGTGTGAACTTCCCTTAGCTGACATTTAGACTGTAGAATAGATGTCACTGATGGCACGATTCTACTGTTCTGCTGTCCCTGCAGTAGCAGAAAGGTTAGATTTACTCTCAGGCAAGATTAATGATCTTCAATATTTATACAGGTGGTGAACATGGGTAAAAAGCAAAAAACAAAATGGTATTTGAGCATTCTGCTTTATTGTATGTAGATTATTCCAGTGGATGAAGATGATGTGGAAGATGATGCAACCACTGACCAAATAAAGGAAATGGTCACTGCAGGAGAAGAACAAATTGGAGCAAGTGAATCCAGAGGAGGTAAATGTAAATCAAAATAGTTGTGGAACATCACACTAACAAGATAAATTTTTTAGTTTCAGGTGCTGAATATTAAGATCTGGTATTTCTTTATTACATGCTGGTCAAGTATAGCTAGCTCTTATTGTTGCTGGATGACAGGAAAGGGTTTTGTTCTCTATTTTGAAGACTTTGATAGCCCATAGAAAATCATGATCATCCCTTGCAATTACTTAACTGCCATTTCCTTGTTCTTAGAACACTGAAGTTGGTCTTTAGCATGAGAAATCTCTATTTCAGAATATACCTTTTGTTATGCAAAGAAATGTGTGACAGGAGAATTGTGGGTGCAAGTTAGATAATGTTAGCAAATTCAGAAGTGAGCCAAGGGGAGATTTCTTGTGTCAGGATAGGTGACCTGGCCATGTGTAGTTTTCCTAGATAATTTTTCCCAGGTATCTTTTCTTCTCCTCAGTGTATTGTCTTTGTCCCAGTGCAGGGGGGAGGCTGACTGGAGGTTTGGTTACTTTTCACTTGTTATAACAGTCTTGATCTTACGAGTTCTGTTCCTTCTCTTTAAGTTTTAACCCAAGCACTAGAAATGAGGGAGAACTTCCAAAGGCAGCTGCAGGAGATCATGTCTGCCACATCACTGGTGAAACCACCAGGGCAAAGAGGATCCCTTTCAAGGAACAGTATTGATGGTTCTCCAGCCACTCCTGATAGCACACGGTCTGCGCGGAATGGCCGCAGTAGGGTCTTGGAAGCTCTCAGGTATTGGTTTGTGTTTCAGAGCTGTTATCTCTGCACATACTTAGACATTCATTGAAACATGAATAGGTGGCCAGGGTTTCAAGTGTATTGTCTTTCTCTACTGATACACTTAATTTGCGTCTCTTGCAATACACAATCTTTAACTTGATGTGCCAGATAAAGTCAGAATGTTACCTTAATCTTTTGGTTTAAAGAAAATATCACAGAATGGTATGATTGTTTTTTAGGTCTTAATTGAATTAGGCCAACTGATTTCTTTCTCTTCAGATTAGTTAGTCTTCTCATAAATTCCAAAGAAAGCAATGCTGCACTATTTCAATACATAGGTCATATACAAGTAGTGGGTATTCCTGCAAAGTGCCTCTGTGGATGGTTCTCCTCTGTTTCTTTTCTCTCTAAACAGAGAATAGGTTTTGAACTCTTAACAGTGCTGAGCTACAGTGAGGATGTAATGGAAACCTTGCAAAATTACTCCTTTAACTTGATCATTTGCAAATTCAGAGGTTCAGTAAAGAGTGGAGTACACTCATTTTGGAGTAATTTATCAATATGACACATAATAAAAAAATCTCCTACTGAGATGTTGAGGGTGGTGAGGCCCTGGCACAGATTGCTTGAAGAAGTGGTGAATGCTGCATCCCTGGCAGTGTTCAAGGCCAGGTTGGACAGAGACTTGGGTGACATGGTCTAGTGTGAGGCATCCTTGCCCACGGCAGGGGGATGGAACTGGATGGTCTTCTCCAACCCAAGGGTCCTTTCCAACCCAAACCAGTCTGTGATTCTATGAGATTTCGGTTGCCTTTTTCCAGCCATGCTGACACTTAAGCTCCCAAAGTCAGGCTGCTGGAGTTGCCTTTATACTGAAATTGTCCCCTTTCCCAGCTATGCCTTCTAATAATGAGGTCACTTGGATGCTACAGTTGATGTGATTTGTTAACACATTGCTCTGGCAGTCTGTACAACAAATGCATATTTAAGGTATCTGTGGTCTTCTCCTTAGGCAGTCCCGCCAGGCTGTTGCAGATATAAACACGGAGCCATCGCAGAGTGAGCAGATCATCTGGGACGATCCTACTGCCAGGGAGGAGAGGGCAAGACTTGTCAGCAACTTTCAGTGGCCTAATAGTCCTTCCCAGTACACTGAGCAAGGTCAGGGTAATGCCAATAAGAACACGGATGAAACTGTCTTCAAAGGATCTTTAGCTGATGCAGAGATTGCTGCTATAGGTAAAATGACAAATACAATATCGTTGTTCTTTGCTACAGCATCCATTTAATATTGGGGACTTTAAAATACGGTAGTGTTTGAATTCTACTTAAAAAGAAACAAAACAAGAGCACTGTTGCCATTCTTGAATGCCAGAAGTGCAATTTCACATCTTTGAGCTCCATTATGTATTGCTGTTTTATAAAGAGAAGCTTTCCTATCCATTTGCCATTTGTGGTCAAACACCAAAACAATGCTTCTCTAAAATGGTCTACCTCAACTTCAGGAAATCCCAGTGTTTTCTGAACCACAACTGGTTTCCAGATACCTGTTCAGGTCAGGGTAATGGAATTCTAAAGGGAATACTAGTAGCAAAGTAGTGGAAGTATTAACAAGTGAAGAATGAAGATTACAGGAAGCAGAGAACCCATGAGCCTGAAAAACAGGTATGTCAGAGCTGCCAATGGATGTGCTTCAGTCAGGATTCAGTGAAGGTACTGTATTTGTCTTCCCTGTTCTTTTTAAGCCTTAGTCTGCTGCTAGGACTAAGGAAGCAACATACATCTGTTTTTTCATGTGCTTTTGCTTTCTTCCCATTCTGCCTCCTGAGATAGCAGAATCCTTTATTCCTCTCTCCCCACTGCCTCCCTCCTGCCCCCATCTCCTTCCCTCAGTCTACTTGGAGAGTTTCTGCTTGTGGCAACAGTCATCCTGAAAACTGGCCTTGTCCTAGAGGAGGCTGAAGAAAATTGGCTAAATGCATTCCATTGCTTTTTGGTTCAACCATATTGGTGTGGTTTAGACAAAGAAACCGGAACAGTTGAGGTTTTGAGTCTTTTTTTCCAAGGAAGGCATCCAGGGACATGAGTTTGCAATATTACAATTGCTGGTTTGTGGTGTGAGGAAGAGCATCTTTTGGAAGGGCAGTGGTGAAATGTAATTGTAGGTATTACAGCAGCAGTTGTGTTTTGTCCTTTTAGGATAGCTACTTCTTTAATTGTTAATTTTTGTTACCCATAATTATATTCAGCCAAAAGCAAGTCAACATTTTATTTTCACAGCTCTTCCTGAGGCTGTAGATGGAGATGGGATTGAAGGTCTAAAGAATCCTGTATGTGGAGATCCTGAAACACCAATCAAAGATCACTCGATCCCCACTCTGCAGACCCCCAGCATTGCTGTCCCACTGGCTAACCCTCCTGTTGCACCTCAGCCCAAAGAAAAGGTTGGTCAGATGAAGAAATATTTACAGTGAGTTGTGTTCTGAGAGATGTAGGGGCACTTAAAATAGTTTTGAACATGACAGTGTGTATAAAGAGGTGAACAGCCAGCAGGGCTAGGCCAGTGATTGTCTCCCTGTGCTGGGCACTGGTGAGGCAGCACCTCAAATCCTGTGTTCAGTTCTGGGCCCCTCACTGCAAGAGAGACATTGAGGTGCTGGAGGGGGCCAGAGAAGGGCAACGGAGCTGGTGCAGGGCCTGGAGCACAAATGTGATGGGGAACGGCTGAGGGACCTGGGGGGTTCAGTCTGGAGAAGAGAAGGCTCAGGGGGAACCTGATCACTCCCTGCAGCTGCCTGGTTGTAGTGAGGTGGGGTCGGTCTCTGCTCCCAAGGAACAAGGGACAGGACAAGAGGAAACGGCCTCAAGCTGCACCAGGGCAGGTTTAGATGGAGCTGAGGAACAATTCCTTCCCCAGAGGGTGCTCAGGCATTGGAACAGGCTGCCCAGGGCAGGGCTGCAGTCACCGTCCCTGCAAGTGTTCACACAGCGTGGAGACGAGGCCTCAGTGCCATGGGTTAGTGGTGGCCTTGGCAGTGCTGGGGAGCGGTTGGACTGGATGAGCTTAAAGGGCTTTCCTAACATGGTTAATTCTATGATTCTGTGGTTTAAAGCCACAGAATTCTGTGGATATTCTGTGGATAACTTCTGTGCAGTTCTATTTCCCTTTCCTCATTTCTTTGAGATTTTGGACAAAGAATGTTTGCTGAAAGAGAAAAAGCTTTTTTTGTTCAGACAGATAAAGCTTTTTGTCCAGTTAGTTCCTGCTGGAATGCTGAGGTAGGCTTTGGAATGAGGAGTTATTATGTGCATTCATTGGAATTCCTCCAGCCGTGTTAGGATGATGGAAGAAGTTTAGTGGTTGGTTGTGGTATCTGGAATTTATGCTTAGATACAAAGGGGAAGTTATTTTTCTGTCAAAAACCTGATTTAAAATTCCACTACTTTATAGGGAACTAGGAAAGGGCTAGGGAAAAAAGCTTAGTCTTTTGTAGTGTATCTCCTGATGCTCAAACTTCCAGCAGCAGTGTGTCTTTAGAGGCATAACTTGTCATGCGAGTACATAAGCTGTGGTAAAAATGCAGAAGACCCCTGAATTTATAGGAAGTGTGAATGAATGAGGCAGTGTGATAGATGGATGATGATTTTTTTCATGTGTTCAACTTGTCATTCACTGGATATGAATGAAGGATTAGTTTTTATGACAGGTTGGTTCAGTTGTGCCCTGAAGAAAGGGGCAACCACGTGGCTGTTAAGCAGGAACTTAACATTGATTTGATGCAATGTTTTTTGTCAAGTAATTGACAGGTTTGGTTCTGCTTTTGCTGGCTAAAAGAAAGCTGAGTATAAAAATAATCCAGAATGTTTGGGAGAGAAATAGTCAGCTGTCAACCTAATCTTTCTGTCATACATTCAGAATCTGTTACTGTACTTTCAGGCTGTTACAGAAGAAGAAAAGGCTGATGAAGAACCAGAAAAAGTCCGTAAATTTCAGCTGTCTTCTTTTAATCCTGAAGAAAGATTTGATTACTGCCATCTGATTGAGGAATTAGGTACCAGCTATTTGTGAAATGCAAAGAATAGTATGTGTGTGGATGTGTCTGGTCAGCTGTGGCTCACTGGGGAAAAGAAAGGACGTCTGTTACTGACTTACCAGATTTGAGGTCTCAAATTTATGGCTTTCTGTGCTTATGAGTGATTCTTTGAATGTATTATTATGATGTGAGCACTCAGCTTTGCCATAAAACAGCAGTGGGTTTGTCTGCTGGCAGTTTTCTTCTAGCTGTCTCCACAACAGCCTCATTCTTTACTGCTGGGAGTGCCCAGGATCTGCTGTGCTCTGGTGTCTCTCTTATTCCTGTCTGTTTATCAGAGCCACTCTTTCCCGGCTGCTTCTCCTTCCTTGCCAGTGTCACTTCAGTGATAATGCTTTCAATGTGAATTTGAGTGAAATATATTTTTATCTGAATTCAAGTAATTCTCATTTTGAGTTGATCTTTTCTGTGGTACCTTTTAAATAACGTGAATAAAATTCATTTCTCAATTCAAGGTGGAGTATTGCTTGAGAAACAGTGCTTTGATCCAAGTTGCACACACACCGTTGTGGGACATCCTCTTCGAAACGAAAAGTTCTTGGCTTCGATGGCAGCTGGGAAGTGGGTGCTTCATCGTTCCTACCTGGAGGCATGTAGAGGAGCTGGCTGCTTTGTTCAGGCAAGTGACCTGTACTTGTACACTGCTGCATTTCCTTTTAGTTTAGACTTAAAACTCTCAAACCCAATTAGGTTTTTAGGGTGCCTGAGCCTTAGGAGTTTTAGAGGATCCAAAGACTGACAGGATTTTCTCTGGAAACTAGTCCTGGACCAAACTCCCAGTATTGGCTAAATGAAATACCCACAGTTTTTATAGCTGCTTCTGAAAACTGCAGCTTGCATACCTTTTGATAAATTCTCACTAGTATCAGCTGGCATCACATGGGCTTTGTTACACCAGGAATTGATCTTGATCCTTTCAGTAAATGAGCATGGAATAGTTTTAAATAATCCAACTCTCTAACCATGGACATAAACAGTTTTTGAACAGTATCTCTTCTAGCTCCTCACCTTCCTGTTACTTCACAGTTCTCCTGAGTTTGGTGGTTACATTGACCAGGCTAACTGGTTCATATCTTGATGTATCAACACCAACTTTCATTGCTGTGGAAGACACTGCAGAAATGTAGAGTTGATGGCACCCAGAGTAGTGAGTTAATTTGCTCACTACTCTGGACTCACTCAGAGGAATTCACTTGCTGTTGAATTCCTTTGTAGATAACTGCCAGAGGAATCTGGTTGTGTACATGACTTGATGTCACAGAAATACATGAGTAGATTTAGACATGTATGTGCAGTGAAGAGCCAGGTCTCTCATCTTTAACTAGAGCTGCTTGGGCCAGATAAACTCAACGGATAAAACTAGAGTGAGATGGGATTTGGAGAGGATTGGGGGGATGAATTTTTACTCTTAAACTTTTTTTTCTGCTGGTAAAGTTGTCAGGAATGTTTTGTAATTGAAGCTTCTGATTGTCCTAGGAAGAAGATTATGAGTGGGGAAGTAATTCCATACTTAATGCTTTGCCTGCAATTAGCATAAACCAGAAGAAACTAGCACTTGCTGCCATGAGGTGGCGGAAAAAAATCCATAAAGGGAGACAAGAAACTGGTATTGTTGAGGTATGGTATTGTGGAGATATTTAGATACTCAGCATGGGTGGACAGGACAGGGCGGTGTGCATACTGTTACATTTAAAACAGCATAAGGTGCTTCCCTAAAGCACTTTCTGTGATCTTTATGGTGCGAGTTCCATAGTCTTTCAGTGAGGCTTTTGAAAGTGGGACTTTCCCTCTTGTTAAAAGACTCCCTAAAGGGGTCCCAAAAAGTGTTTCCTAAAGTCTTTTAAGTCCTCTCTCACATCGAGCATTGGAGTCGAGCATTCATTGAAAGGTAGAAAGAGTGCTTTTTTTCTGCCATTTACACTTAAAGACAAAACGAGGTGATGGCATATCTTTATCTGATGGATATTCCTGAAAGAGGAAAATGAGAGATCCAGTAAGTCTTTGTAGTACAGATGTACTTTTGACTAAATTGAGTCTTTTATCTAGGGAGCTTTCAGTGGCTGGAAAGTGATCCTGAATGTTGATCAAACCAAGGAAGCAGGATTCAGACGCCTTCTTCAGTCAGGAGGAGCAAAAGTATGTAGAGTTTTGGGGTTTTAATAATTAAATATACATATGTGTTGGATTTTGTGGGGTTTTGGTTGGTTGGGGGGGGTCCTTTCTGTTAAACTCTGCTGGACAGTTTCTGTATGAGTAAAAGGTCTGAAGCAAGAAAATTGCTTACACAGGTGTCCTGGGTTCAACAGTAGCAGTCATTTTTTCTCTTAGTAGCTGCTGCAGTGCTGTGGTTTTGACTTTAGTCTGAGAGCAATGCTGGTAACACCAATGTTTTAGTTGTTGCTAAGTAATGCTTACTCCGATCAAGGACTTTTCAGTCTCATGCTCTGCCAGTGAGGAGGGGGCACGGGATGCCAGGAGGAGGCAGAACCAGGACACCTGACCCAAACTAGCCAAAGGGGTATTCCATACCACAGCACGTCACGCCCAGTATAGAAACTGGGGGCAGTTACCTGGAAGAGCTAGATCACTGCTCGGATTGGGCTGGGTATCGGTTGGTGGGTGGTGAGCAATTGTATTCTCTCCCCTTGTTACTTCCCTTATTATTATTACTGGTGGTAGCAGTAGTGGTTTTGTGTTATACCTTAGTTACTGGACTGTTCTTATCTCAACCTGTTCTTTCCATTCTCTTCCCCATCCCTCTGGGAGTTGGGGGGGGAAGAAGAGGGAGAGTGAGCGAGCTGCTGCGTGGTTCTGAGTTACTGGCTGGGCTCAAACCACGACAACAGGATATCTGAAACGTGGTCACAGGGTGAGAGGAAAGAGCTGTGTCATTTCCATTTCCAAGCAGTTGGGCACAGCAGCTTACCTGGGGTCACACAGTCAGTAGTGCTGGTGGGAATTAGGATAGAATTTCTGTGCCCTGCTCTGATGAGAAATATCACCCTTCTTTAAAGGTGTGTGAGGGTACAGACTGCAGTGTAAATGGCATTTTATTTCCCATTGGTTCACTAGTTAATTTGATGGGTGAAATTATAGGTCATGAACTGCATTTGTCTTGGGGAAAGAGCCACAAAACTAAACTTGTTTTGTCTGTCGTGTTTTGATGTGTAGGTGTTCTCTGGTCACTCTGTGTCTCTCTTCAAAGAAACAACTCACCTCTTCGCTGACTTCAGTAAGCTGAAGCCAGGGGACAGCAGGGTCAATATAGCAGAGGCAGCAGCCCAAGGAGTGAACTGCCTGAAACCAGAGTACATCGCTGACTACCTCATCCAGGTGTGCATGCTGGAATCCTGGCCACAAGTGCCTGTGCTCAGCACTTCTGTATGTGGCCTCAGACTTTAACCTGACTTGTTCTAGAGCTGGCAGTGCTGCAGGATAGGCAGCTTGTGAAACCTACTCAAAATGTAGGTGTGCGATGTTGGGTTTGATAGTTTCCATTTTAGAAAACAAATGAGCTGTTTCTTTCTTCTCAGAAGCTTTTTGAGCTAAACAAAGACTTAAGGTAAATCTATGGGTTGTGTCTTTTTTTTGTCTTCTTCTACTGAAGGATCCACCTCCCCCAGTGGAGTCTTACTGCCTACCAGAAGCTGTATCTTCCCTTCAGAACAACACAGAATTTGGAAGTGGGTTGTCCCAGAAGAGAAAAGCAGTGGGAGAGATGAGCCGAGTCAAGCGATCCAAAGTCTACTGAGCAACTCCTGTGCTTTCCAGCTGTACATTTTTAAATTCATATTTATATTTTTTCATTCTCGCCACCAAAATTAAAAGCTTCTGAGTTTCTCTTCTCATTTGTCTTGAGATTAAAATAATCTTACAGTAACATTCATAGGAAAGATTGCTTTGGTTACCAGGAGCATCTAAAAATACAGCAAGAACTCATCCAAAAAATAGTGTCTCCAAAATGTGCCAGCTGTTCCACTAATGGTTTCCTTTAGGGACACCATTGTATAATAATGGGTAAGAAACACTTTGTGAGGTGCTTGTCATGTCTTCTGTGCGTGTGTTGTGGGGAAAATACCAGTTGATAAGAATTCTATTCAGGAATTCTGTTCGGTTCCACATGAATTTTGCCTTTTATTATTTTCTGTTGGAGGGGAAAGGGGGAACAGGACAAAAAGAACTGCCTTGTAAATTTTTGTACTAACAGAGTATATGAATGACCTCTATAAAGCAGAGGCACTGCTGAGGTGCTGCCATTCTGATTGCTGATGTGTCTGTTCAGCAAACACAGAACCAGCTCTTTAACATGAGAGGTGAATTTTGCCTGACCACGCTCCCAGTCTGGGTCTGTGACAGGAATCAGAGCCAGAACAAAGATACTGGTTTCCAGCAGCTGGAAATGGCCTTACTCAGACAACCACATTTGACAAACTGACCTTTTAGTAACTATGGGGTCTGGGTCTCTATTTACTGAACTTACTGTATGTGAGTTGTACTGTGCTTGGGTGAAAGTGTGCTTAGAAAAGAGTTGTGTTTAAGCAGCTGGAATTGCTGTGGCCTGTCTGAATGGAAAAGCACAATGTCCAGTTGCACAGGACCCACTGTGGTTGTCTGGGGGAGCATGTAACATCTTTAAAGTCTATTTAATTTACCTCTCCATTGTTTTGAAGGGGAGATTTATCCTACTTGTATTTTCTAGTTGCTGAATACTGTTGTACAGGAAGTCTTTGCATCAGTACTGGTTGCAGCTAGAAGACAGGAGGAGCCACAAGCATCTAGTAAGTGCTGTGCAGTCTGGAGAGCCCTGCCCCAGGCTGGGGAGAACTAGTGGTGGAGGAAGGGCTAAAGGTCTCCAGGCGGGAGGGGACAGGAAGGCAGCCTGCCCTGGTGTACAAGGCTCCGCTGTCTGCTTCCTGCTGCAGTGCAGGGGATGTTTTGTCAGTGAGCTCCACAACACACTGTCAGGATGACCCAAAAGAATTGTCAGGAAGAACTGAAAGATGCCCGTGGCCATGAGGGATCTGATTCTTTTCTGTGCTCCCATCAGTGGGCACTTGGGCTGTGGCAAGATTGCTGAGCTGCAGGGACTAGTCTTGCCACCTGCTTTGTTTTTCTTGACCTTAACAGCTTGAATGCTTTTTGCTCTTTGTGGGTGCCCAGCAAACACCTCCAATTTGCTCCAAATCCACATGCTGAAACTAATGCTGCTTTTAATGCCTTAAATCACATTTTGAGTTAACTTCGTATTTCCCTGGCAATTCTCTGTTCTATCCCCAAAATGCTGCTTTGGTTGGCAAGTATTGTAAACAGGCATGGATATTGGCAGGTGAGACAGGAGGGTCCTGGGATTTTGCTGTATTTTCTTCTTCCCAGTCCTTGGAAGAAGCTGCTATGGAAGGGTCATGCTGCTATTCTCACTCTGCAGCTAAGGAACCACTCCCTGACCCACTTAGCTAAGCTTTAAAGCAGTCTTGGAGCCACACAGCCACAGTGAATCCTGGGGGCAAAGCAGAAGGGGAGCAGCTGAAATCAGACACATCCCAAGCTCCAGTGGGACCAGTGACATGGGATCTGAGCATTACCTGTTCTCCAGGCATCTGCTCAGCCTGTGCACGTGTGTGCCAGTCCCTCTTCCACACCGAGCCTGGAACCAGCATGCTGCTGTCCCCACACTGACTGCTCTGTCACTGAAGAGAGGGGTGAACACAAGAACGAGACAAACTGGAGGTAGGAATTCAGTTGGTGTAGTTAAGATCAGTTTATTTTCTTCAGCTTTCTTCACAGGAAACATCACAAAAGTGCTTTACAGAGTTCAATACCATTCCTTTAACGTGGGACATAAAGGGCAACAAGGGGTGTGTGCACTGCACAGTTTGAAGCTGTCATCTGCAGAAGCCATGCGAGGTAAACCAGGGTAAAAAAAATCTACTGCCAAAACAATGGAGTTCAGGTTTGGAGCTTAAATTATAACTCTAAACTATATATATAAACATACAGGCACCATTCGGTTCCTGTGTTAACTGTGGGGGCCACACAGGGATTCTCAGATCATATTGTACTCAGCTTTGGCTCAAGCAGTTTCTGCTGTGCTCGGGGGGCTCCCAGCCACCCCTTTTCCCAACTAGATGGTATTGTTTGTTCTTTTGCACTACAGTAAGCACTCAAATGGCTTTATCTTCCTTTCTTTAGGTTCAGTCTGGTGGTGAGACATTCTGGTACACTGCTGAAAGCAAAGTCAGTTTCCTATTTTTTCAGTTACAGAGACTATTCTTCAGTCATCTCTTCATTAAAAAAATAAAGGCTTTAGGCCAGACCCTGATATCCAGGTACGCCAGTTTTGTTTGAGCTAGCATGTTACCAGTCATGCAACCCTACTCCTTCTCATAGTTGAACTGTGCTGTACTGTGACCAGTGCTTCCTGCCTTCATTTTGCTCTTTCCATGGGAATTAGGCTCCTGTGTAGCCTTCCAGGGTCTAGGTTTAAATTGCCCATGGAGACCACATTTACTTGCTAAGCAGTTTTGCAACAGATGGAGCCATGTTTTGATGCTGGGAGCCCGGACTGAAGAAATACAGCATGATCAAGACTCAGGTTTTGCTTACAGAGCTTTCTAAATGGTGAATTTCTACAGTGGTGAATAATTCAGGTACCTGACTAGAAAACTTTGGCATGGTAATAATGTAGATGAACGAAATGAGGGAATGCTCTGGGGTGAAAAAAGGTCAAATCAGGAGATTTTTGCTGGGCTGTGAGTTGTAGAAAAAAACCCAAACCAACCAAAACCAGCAGCAGAGCCAATTGTCTAGAACACACTGTTATGCCAGTTCACAAAGCCAGTTTGCCTTCTACCTAATTCCCAGATTAAAGACATTGCACACTCAGAGAACCAACTAGTCAGTCCTGAAGGTCACGGGGTGGGTAGTAGGTAACAGGATTTACAGTGGCAAAACATGGCTTTGATGAGTGTAGCAGCAGAGAGGAGTCTTTCATACCCTGTCCCACACACACAAAGTACTGCACTAACAGCTCTCAGTTACTCCTTATCTGCTCTGTTCCCCCTCATCCCCTCAGAATTAACTCACACCTCAGCTCCAATTTGCCAGCTTTATAAACACCAGCAGCCACAATTGCTTTTGACAGAATACTGGTAGTGGTGGAACAGAACACCGGACACTTTGCATGAAAAATCCAAGGTATGTTCTTCATACTACTCGTCTTTATTAGAACTGAGCTGCAGCTGTTGTATATGATGCTGTATTCTGGTATTGAGACAGTGCAGCTCTCAAGTGGCAGGCTGTGCATTCCAACAGGCTTGACTCTTCCCTCGTGACATCCCCTTTGTATTTATAAATATAGCATTGCTGGTAGATGCAGTCAGCACTTAACAACTGAACCTTCTTTACAGCTGTACCATCTTTAAAGTACAAGATGAGAATGTGAAGAGATGAAACAAACCACAAAGACTAAGCCTGTCATCCAGTGTTGCACTCATCTCCATCTCAACTCCTGTAATCTAATTTCAAAGTCCAGTTAAATACTACAACAGGTATGTTCAGCTAAGTGTGGCTGAGCCCAGCTGATTGCTGCTCAGAGACCAAGTAATACATTTGCTTCATCTCTGCCACAAACATGGAGCAGAATAACCCAGAAACTTAAAGCAAGCTTGCTATGGGGCTTATTCATTGCGTTCCTTTCCAGCTGCTGTATCTAGACTTCAAGTGAGAAGATCTCAAATCAAGTTTTAATGAAACTGAGCTCATGTGACACAAATAACTCCACTGAAACCAAAGAAGGTAAGCTCTGGGAGATCAAACTCAGACTGTTTGTTTCTCAATAGATTTGTTCTTTTATCATCAGCCTGTTTTACAATTTGAATCATTTTGTTGTGGTTGTACATACTCTGAAAGAGGTACAGGGTAAGTTATTTGTTTTAATGGAAAAAGAAGCTTGTGATGACAGTTTTCTGGAGGCAAATTACTTGAAGTAGTTTTAACTTGGTTACTTAAGTGCTATAACTGAGCTAGGTAAAAACTCAATACATGAGACAAGAAATAGAACAGAAAAGGTCAGACTGAGTAAAAGTTGGTAAGAGCATGCCATGTGCTAACAACTGGTAGGGAGAGTGGGTTATACACATGAAACTGAAGACTGAAGTACATCGGATGGCAAGAATCAATGCCCATAGAAAGTTGTTAGGTTTGTCAGCACTGGTGAAGGGGGTGAGTGCCAGGGGATGCTAAATCCCTCTGTAAAGTTGGCATTTCAGTGGTGAGAGAAAAGAAACCCAAGGCAGTGAACACTGGAAGGGCTTCAAACTGCTCATACATGCTCTGGTGGATTCTGAGTTGTGATCTTTCAAAGGGACGATCTAGGCATCACTGTAGACAGCTGGATGAAGACATCTGCTCAATGTGTAATTGCAGTCAAGAAAGCGAGTAAGGTGTTAGGCTGTATTAAAGACAGATTAATATGGAAAAACATTACAGCACGTATTTCTCTTAAAGAGCCTCAATGAGTATTTGCTGCTTCATCAGCATCTTTAAAAGTGACAGATTAGGAAAGTATAGGGAGGAAAGTGGTAAGAGAATGGCAGAAGCAGCTCTTTGTAGCTGAAAGACATCAAGACCAAAGTCATTTGTTTAATAAAAGGGAAAAAGGATAGATGATCTACACCTTTATTCTCTTCCCCACCATACAGCAGGATATTTATCTCAGTCATTTTAAGCCACCTACAACTCTCTTGACCTCAATGTCACCCATCATCAAGTATTCCAAAAAGCTCCCTGTGTTATTCTTTAATGCTTGTAATTCAGCGACTTCAACGTTTCCTCTGAAGCAACTGCAGCAATGTGTTGAAATTTAGCAGTAATCATTTCTGACAGAGCATTGTCATGGTTGATGCAGAGGAACAACTGTCTTAGAGGTGCTGCAGTGAGAAAAACATTAGGAAGAGAAAATAGCTGCCAGGCCTCACCTCTGGTCAGTCCCCACCAGAGCTGCAGTCTCTCTGCATGTATGCCATCATCATGTTCTCTGCTTCTCCAGTGGAGACCCGCTGTAAAAGCTGAGCAATGCGCCTTGATCTCACCATTACAGCAGACAAGGGTCTCTAGTATTCCTAACAATCATTTCTTCACGTTCCTTCAGCTGCAGTTAACTGATAAACAGGAGATAAGTGGATAGGGTCATCACCACCTCTGTATTTATACACCTTCCTCTCCTGCCTGCCCCTGTCAGCTCTGCCTTCTGAGCATTTCTTTATCCCTTTGACAGAGGCCTCCCCATGGGCAACTGTGTCCTTTTGTTTTATTTCCTCATCTTTTTCCTCCACAGCCTGCCTCAGTACCAGCCTTTAACGTTTCAAAGTTAAGATTACTGTCTCTCCCCAATTTCCATTGTACCTGTATGCTGCTTCAACATGGGAAAGGATAAAGAGCAGGACAATCGTGTGTTTACAGTGAAAGATGAAAACTACTTTCCAATCACAAAACGCCACTTAGTACTGTGACACAAATACATACTTCCAACAGTGAACATTTCTAGTTCACATAATTGGAATAGACTTTAAACCAGCCACGTTATAAGAGATGGCTGTCCACTGTGCACAGGATTTTATTTCAGACATTGGTTTTTATGTGGAATACATGAAATCAATTTTGCCCTATCTTGTAAACCCAAAAAGCCTTATATTAGTATACCATTTGTGTTGCACAGAGAATTAGAGATGAAATACCAGTTAGATGGAGTGCTCAGCCTGAGCCTTTTCCTTACCCATACATACTACGTCTAATTACATAAATGCTTAAATAGAATGTAATTTACATTCTGTAGAAATAAGCCTTTCCCAAAGTAGTACTAAAATACTGTAATGAAAGCTAATATAAAGAGCCTCTAATGAAGGTTTTTAGTCCTCTGCAGCACCTTCCAGCAGTCCCAAACCTTGACAAGGAGCAGCTTTGGCCTCACAACACCCCTGTGAGGTAGGTGGCTGGGGTTTTTTGGTACAGCTGGGGAAACTGAGGCAAAGGGAACCTAAACTGCTTGAAGTCAACAAAGCAGCACAGTGGAAAACCAAGGTCAAATCCCACTCTCCTGGGTCCATGCTCTTGCTACAAAATGGGATGCTTCTCAGTGCATGCAGTGATTTCAGACAATCTTTTCCATTCTGGTATTCCAGCTGAACTCCTTGTTCTGGTGATTCATTAACACTGTTAATTAACATTTCCAATAGTTGTATTCTGGCATAGCAGCCCCTAAGTTACTGAATATAAGCCCCTCGTATACGGACCATTAGAAGATGCTTCACAATAAAAAGAAATGTCTTCACAGCAATTTGAATCAGCATTTCAGCTTTTCATCATGCAGAAGCAAGAAAGGTTTCTTAAAAATGAAACAAGTTTTTTCCTAAGAAGATTGCTGAGCTGTCTTGGAATTTGTCCTTTCTCTGTTCTCTCCACAGGCAACCAGTTAAGACAGCTTTGGACCAATGCAAAACTCTACCTTCTCTCTGGACAGGTATTCCCAATCCTTTTCTTTAAGGGAAAAAAGAAAATGGGATGGCTTCCTTAAGTACTGAACTCCACGTTGCCTCATTTCAGGTCAGATGGATCTGTCACTTGCGAAAGCAGCACTTCTACCCAACCACTTACACTCCACTCCCTGCCTCAGGCTATGCATCTAACACTATCCTTTAGGAAAGCCCCCTTCCCAATCCCTCTCTTACCTCCTGTTCTATTTGCATAATTTCCAGTCTCCCTTATTTAAAAAAGAATAAAAATCTCTTCCTTGCTGTTCAGTTTCACTTCAAACAGAACACAGTAGGACTACACATGGCGTTTCACAAGCCAAACTATAGGTACATGACAGTTACAACTTATCCAAATCAGTATTAGACTCCTCAGCTGTTTTCTGCTGCCATTTCTTCTTCCATCAGCTAAAGCAGGTTCTTGTATGAACCTGAACACAGACAAGCCACCCTTTTAACTTTTTCTTCAGAACTCCTTAGCAAATACCCATCAGATTTCCTCCCCCTTTGTAAATACCTAATTTATCTCTCTGAAATGTAAAGGCATGTTATTATTTTTGTTACATTCCCCAAAAAAGCCCCAGTTTGCCTTCAATTTGTGCAATCAAAAACTGAAAGCAGAGAGGGGACAATTTGGGAACTCAGTTACAGCCAGGTGCTGAAACCTGGATTGTGGCTATTCATAAAGACTGTGAAGTACTCAACGTGGTTTTGATATATTTAGTTTCTTGGGCCTCTGATACAAATTAGTCATGTAAAAGAGGAGGTATTCATTTCTCTGACCATGTCAGTATTGGACAGAATAATGTACTAATAACCTTGTAACTAAGCACCCTTTAAGCACATGAAGCTGTATTAATCTAAAAACCAATCATCCGCTCGTTACTTACAGTATTTGACAGAAAACCCCAAGCAAGTTTAAAACTACTCAACCAGGCTGAACTTAGACAAAAAAAAGAAACCCAACAAGTATTGCAAAAGCTCAGATAAGCAAACTCTAAGATCTGCAGCCCTATCACATTTATATGGTGTTTACCTGACCTAAACAGTGTGTTGTGGTGAAAGAGTTTCTGAGAGCTAGCACATGCAGACACCAAAACACTGGTGTCAGGTCTGTAACACAGTCTGTGCTATTAACAATTCAGCTATTCCCAAGTTTTCAAGAGAGTTACTTTGGACATGACTGGTAAAGGTAATTTCAAAGACAAAACTGAAGGAGCAGGAGATGGTTGCTTTTTGTTGTCAATTCCTCTTTGTTTGTAAGATTAAACATGGCACAGCTAAACCAGGGGCAGCAGGGATCAAAACTAATCCTCTTCTATATTTATCATCACTTCAAGGAAATACAGATGCCAGATTCCTACAGCAGGGATTTGGGAAGTCCAACTTTATTAAAAATGATCTAGGTTTTCGCATTTTAACATTCCTTAAATACAGACTGCATCACTGAGAGTCACAAATCCCAACTGTTCCTTTCCCTTTAGGTACTGGACGTTTAAATGTTCTACCAGCAGGTCGGTAACTTCATGGCTGTGTTTTCATTTTATGTCACAGACTAAGTAAAATGGAACCTTGAAGTTGGAAACTAACAACCAAGCCACCACAAAAGCATGTTACAGGTTCGGAAGGAGCACACAACAGCATTTTACTGACTGGTACCAAGAATCTCATTTCTACAATCCTTCATTTATGGAATGAGCCTTCAAGAAGCATTCTGAAGGAATGACATGGACAGTCTCAGCGTGCTTCGAATGGATGCAACAACAAACCAGGTAAAGTTGGACTTCAGAGTCTCAAAAGCATACTGAGCTTCCACAGAGGGATGACTTCCAAGATTTCAGGCATGCACAACAATTCACTGTTACAGGAAGATACTGACAACTGGTTTTTTGCTAGTTCGTGGCAGCGATATTTAACACAAGGAACAGTTTTCAATAGTTTAACATTCTGTGCTATGGAAATTGCTGTGTTTTCTTTCTTTCCCTTGATGCCTCCAGAAAGAACCTGGAATGAAATGCTTAAGAAAAGCCCCCCAGAGTTGCAGCTCTAGTTATCAGTAGCTGATGGACTCTGATGGCAGCACCCATCCAAGAGGTTTTATGGGTTTATTTCATTCTCTGATTTAGCAGAGCTACTTTCAAGTGAAAAGCAAATCAAAGCTTCATTCACACTCAATTCACAATCTCAATCCAGTCATATAGGGTGGGACTAAGAAGACACTCTGACAGGAAGCAACTAAACTTCTCTGTACAAACAGAAGTTGTATTAGAATGCACTGCTATAAGCTCTTACACACAGCCCACCTGACCATAAGGCTGATTTGACTACCCACTCCATGGCCTGTCCCTTAAGATCCAAATGCTGTGTCTCCTCAGCTGTCATAAGCTAGAACTAAAGGTAAAGATTCATTACACTCCAGACTCCGTATTTCCATTTTATTTGATTTGAAACTGTTACAGGGTTTTCTTGAACTGCCAGAATTCATGCCCAAAACCTCAAAGATGGTACAATGAACAGTCTCATCTACCCTTCATACAGTAGACTAAAACTCAGTTCATTGGTGATCCCAATCCCTTTAGAGCATCAAGAAAAGTGTTTTAAGCTTTCATGTTTCTACCACATCAAGCAACGTGTCCGTTTACCATGAATTCCACAGAAATCTTTAGTGACAAATCAACAGTTTTGCTGGCAACAACATATTTTCAAGGAAGATACATGGCTCAGAGTCCAAGGTATTGGTATGAGTCTTTCTGTGAGGTTTTGTTTCCAAATGAACTCTCCAACTTTAAGGATAGTCTCTTGAGCCCTCTTTAATAGCAGCTTCTAGCAGAAGTTTTAGAGACAGGTAACTCTGCAAGGGCAAGGCCAGTTTTAGTCTGTGCACAAAAGACTCAGGTGAAGCCCCAGCCCCACTGAAGTCAACAGCAAAATTCCCATTGGCCTCAAGCAGATTTAAAGAAAGTCAGCAGTCAAAAGGGAACCCAATGAGGCGATTCCTGCACTAACCTCATCTTCTGCACATACACACAACTACCACACGAGCCAACAAGTTTTGTTTTGTTCCCTGGTTTTTCTTGCCATTGGCAACTCCTATAGATGTTGGGTCTAGTTTTTGGCATTTACTCTGAGAGACCTCAACACTGGAGCATGCCACTATTTTACTTCATTTTGCTTCTGGTATAAGAATTCAGAGAAGAGAAAAGCAGTTACAGCAGGACACTTTCGGTACTTGACAGGTTTGGTTCATCAAATCAGTGTTGGGGGCAGTGTCCTAAATTCTTAGTGTATCAGTGCCATTTTGCCTACTTCCACTCAATTAAATCAAAGATGAAAACAACTGGAAGAAGTCACTGCCTTCCATTAGTACTAAACTTCCCAACTTTGAATAAACAGCATTTGAGTTTTACATAGAGGATTTATGCCTCAAAGAGCCTGCATGCTTCACAGAAGTAGCCAAACAAATAAGGCTTACCAGCTCTAGTTATCCCTCTGCATACTATATTATTCTGGTTATCAAGTAACCATTACCCTTCAACAAACCACTTTTTAATAGAGGAGAAGTTTTTATCTAGTACCACTACTGCCACGTATCTCATTTTTAAAAGCCAAATTCTTTACTTAAAGAGTCTGGATACCTCTGTGTAAAAAAACCTCTTAATGCTGCAGGGTAGGAAAGACAAACCTCATGACAAAAGCCAAAATAAACCCTATTTCACTACAACATCTCATCATTACTTAAATATACCGCAATTTGATATCAGAAACAAGGCAGGCATTTGTGGAGAACAGGAAAAATAAGATGCTTCAACAGACAACTGTGAAAATGGCTAATGCAAACAGACCATTCAAACCCATTGTTCCCCCAATCTGATAGTGAGTTTTAATTTGTTTTGCAGTTACTTCAGTACAGCTATCTAAAAAGGTAAACAAACTACAGCTCTGTTATACTTGGGTAGCATGAGTGGTATTGGTACGCTCCAGAAGTCTCTAGTAGGCTATGGCTACACATGACAGGATTCCTCAGAAGGGGAACAGAATATGTTTGTCATTTAAGGTCACTTAAATCTTTGTTATAGCAAATTGGAACCAAATGGCTGACTTCTGCAGGATTTCTGACAGGAATCCAGTAGAGCTGGTTTCAAGTTTCAGATGGCCACTAAAACAGCTGTAACCTTCTCTTCCAGAAGTTGTGATCCACATGGTGTCCACAATGAGTGCAGCAAGTCTGAGGTAGTCAACCTTTACGAAGGCTCAGTATCTGAACATAAAAAGATTTTGAAATGACCACTGGCTGAAGGTATCTTTCTGAGCAATTAAAGAACACTGATGACTCTTGTTCAATCATTTACATTTAATCTGCCCCATTTCCAATGGAGAAGTTGTAACATATAACGCTTCCATAGCGGAGGAGAACCAAGCACTTACGTCAAAAGTAGTCTGCACTTGCTGCAGTAGATCCAGCAGAAATAAGGTGGCATGTTCATCATAGCCGTTAGCTGTAGTTTAGTTACCTTAGTAGAAGGGTTACCAAAAAAGCATTCCTTAATTGTAATGTGTATGCAGCTCTACTGATCCCCAAGCACAGCATACTGGTTGTCTAGCTGAAGTTTAAGTGCCTGTTTTTTTGACACCTCATCCCTACCTCTAGTTTTGTGTTTTACTACTTCAAAGCTCTTCTCCATTTCTTTATCCCTAAGGGAAAATAAATGTAATCAGTAAATATCTTATCACTAGCTTGTGAATTGTGAATTTCTAGTCTACTTCCACCCCAGCCCAACAAAACCATTAAGAACACAGAACACTTAAGGTCTAAAGTTTTAACACAACAGCCAAGCATTCCCAAGCAAAACTTGTAAAACCTTATCTCCAGAATAAGCTCATCACCCACTACAATTCAGATCACATTCCAAGTTTCAGTATTAACATTCTCAAAAGTAACTTTCAGTGCATTTATGAAAAATAGGTTTTAAAAGGCAGCAGTCTATCTCTAGAATGCTCGCTCAGAATTTCCTCTTAGCTCAATTTCCACCCCTCAAACCCTAAAGGAGCAATGACAGCACAGCTCATTTGCCAAGCAGACAAAGCCACACAAAGAAAACAAAAAGGGAAAAAAGAAGAAAACAACCCCAAAAAACCCAGAAGAAACAAAAGAACCCAAGTGTACTGGCCTAGCTATATCTTCTGTAGGGAATAAGGCTGCGAAAAGATGAAGACTCTAAAGCAGGGTGAGACTGCAAGTCTTCAGCACCATGAAAAGAAAACCCTTCAGCAAACTCTGGGAGCTCATCATTGTAAACCACAGCTCCAACAGCAGGTTTATTGATTTATATTGGTATTAAATCCCATTCCTCCATTTAAGAAGGAATCTTATTCATCTTCACAGCTCTAATAAGAAGGCAGTGTGCTCGAGACACCCTACTCATGCCTACTGATGCTAGTAACACAGAGCCTCACCGTGGCTAGTATCCCAGGGAACCAGATGCTATCACTGCTACAGCAATATTCTGCTTTAGGAAAACCCTTAAGATAAGGGAACGGGCAGTCTTGTTTGGCTATTTCACTGGGCTGTGTCCTATGACAATTATTTAATGGGAAGCCCTTCCTAGAGTTGGAAAATCCTGTTTCCCATAAATAATTTCTTAGTTATTTCTTTCCTCTCTTGACTGATTTAGGCTTAAGCTATAAACCGAAGCAAGACCTTAGAGAAGGCAGTTAAAATGCATCTTATAGGGATGTACTTACCTTCGACTGTCTATGAGCTTGGCGATGGACTGCAGTGATGGGAACTGCGTATCACTATAGATTTCTGGTGGTCCTTGCTGTGCTCTCCGTGGCCTGCCACCCTCCCGGGCACCAGGAGGCCTGTACACACCACCAGTCTGAACTGGTTCAGGGGCTTCTGTAACTGGGTATTAAGAACAAGATTTAGACAAGAGAAGTTTGCCTTCATATCTGGAAAACACCACCAAAAAAAAACAAAACACAAATGATAAAGAGAAAAGACAGGTATGTTTTTGCGCTTTTAAAAGCTCTGACATCAGGTGTCACCTGATTTAAACTATACTTAGTAGTCAAGATGTGGCTTCAGTGTATTGCCTCACAAAGTTCAAGGAACCAAAAGCGATGATGAGGACTTCACGTTTCTTATCCGCTATTTATTAGCAGCTTATATTTAAAACTAGAGATGCAAACACATAATTATGTATTGGCTGAATCTTACTTCAAGCACCTCTCCAGATGCAGAAGAGAATTCCCAAACAGTTCATATTTAACGTAACAATCTACAATGAAGTAACTCATTAATTTTATCTCCTTGCTTGCAGAAACAAGAGAAAACACATCAGCCCACTTTGCAATGAGTTTCTCCATGGAAGAGAACAGCCTGAACTCGGATCACATCCAAGTAATTTATCTCCACTGAAGTCCTATCCCAGTTAAAGAGTCAATTTTACAATGTCATGCTCTCTGTGCCCTAGAGCAGATTTGAAAAGCGTCCTACCAGCTACAGAACCCTACCCAAGAACTGCCATCCACACAGCCGATAGTGGCTGAACATCCACTTGACTGTCAAAGCAGTATTTCTGGATCAACAGAAATGCTTCCAACAGGTATTTTGCAGATAGCAAAGCACAGAGATCACTTTCAGCCAAAACAAAAAACCCTTCCGCTTGTGTTTTCTTAAAGTACCTGACAATGCTATCAGTTCAGTTCCTCAGATCCCTTTACAAGAAAACTCCACTTCCTAGTATGTCAACCAAGCCACTGGTATGTTAGAACATGCCTGAATAGGAACTGTTCCATGAGCCCTACTCTCTGAGGAGCTTCATTCCACCCAACATGCTTCTGGTTGGAAAAAGCAACAACTCTTGAGTTAAATTTACCAACTGGTTCGACGACAGGTGCCGGCGCAGGAGCTGACTTGTTCCAAGGACCAGATGATCTGTCTACACCACCACCACCAGTCTCCTCCCAGTGGTCACCGTGCTCTTCTCTTTTTTCACTTTCATCATCATCTTTTTCATCTTCTTTTTCACTAAAAAAGAGCAATGATAAGTAGCCTTTTACACACAGAGGTTTAAGACTCGCCAAAGACTACACTATCACCACAGACAAGATTTCACAGCTGCTGCACTGAAGATACTGGATTTAACCAGACTACATCAGTCCTGTAACCACTGCACTGGTACTTGCACCTGAACAGCTTTTGGTACACTGCTACATAACTTGGCAAATTAGAAGAAAAAAAGTTCTTAAAGAAGAATTCAAACTGTACTAAGTGACCCAAATAAACTTATTTCTTATTTTGTGCTTCAAGTTACTTAACAAGACAGTCAAGCATTTGGACATGAGGAGAAGCTAAGGAAGGAAAGCGCTACAAGTCCTGCTTTCATGAAATGCTTTACTCAAGAGGAAGAAATTGTGGAAAAATATAGTGACAGAAAGCAAGTCCTGAGCTCCCCTTCCCTATAACCACAACCAAGAAACATTCCTATTGCCCATACCAAGGCAATCTACAAACCAAGTCAGTGCTGTTTGGTTGGGTTTTTAAAAGAGGGAATCAGAAAAACCACAGACAGAATTACCCCAGTTTTTAAAGAGAAATACTCTGAAAAAAACTATTTTAGTTAGACTATTCTTTTTTTGCTCAGAAATAGTCAAAAGACTCCAAATAAGCTGCTAAACAAAGCTGCTTCAGAAAGATGTGTGGTGTAATGGGATAAAGGTACAGGGGGAGGCTATAGAAAAACCAAAGCCACTCATGTACATCGCAGCACCAAAGTGGGAATACAGAAGTTATAATACACTCATCATGATTGGATAAGTTTTCTTTAAAAGTAATCAGAGAACAGTTAAAAATACCTATAATTGCTGAAAATTAAATGGCCTTTTATTGTCCAAACACAGTAAAAATCACAGTAAGCTGGACCAAGAACTTAAACACATCACTATCCTATTTTAAACTCCAGTCAAAGGCAGATGCCTATAGGCTAGCTACAGCAGAGCAAGCACACACATCCCACTCCCACCACAGACTCCATGGCTTATTTTCAGCAAAGAGATCTCCAGAGCTGGATAATTTATAACCTCCAGTGGGCTGCTCTTCCATTTACTTCTCCACTCTTCCCTTGAACCTACTGAGTAGTTATAAAATTCTCTGGCAGAAGCTTCCATGCGCCTGAGAATGTGCCACAGCACCAAAAGCATCCGGAATGCAAACAGTACCAAGAGGCAGTGAAGCAGCAGCCCAGTTGTCACGTGTCTGTTGAGACATGTGATTAGCCACTTCAATGGCATGGCACAGGATTGGGTTTTTTGACATAAAAATGCAATGGCTCAGGAATTCACTCCCCAAACTGAGATGCTGAATGGACTGAGTCAGCTACCCTTACAGCAGTCCAATGATTCAGTGGGAATTACTGTCTTGCACTCCTCCCTCAGGAAAATTCCTACTTCACTATCTTCACAGAGGGCAATGTTAAGCATTTGTAATAAAACTCTGAACCCCAACCAAACCAAACAAACCTGGAGAATCCACAGAGATACAGAAAATAAAGAGAATGTTGTCAGAGAACAGTCAAACCTCAGCAAAATTCTGCACTAGCAGAAACATATCAGACCTCTGTTTAACTGGACTCCCGGAAGGCAGCTCTGAAGAACATAGTTTTTAGGCAGAGGTAATGATTATACTGGAGAGAAGAATTAACAAGAGAAGTAGTACCTTATTTGCATGGACTGAACTCTAAGACCACTATAATCAATTTCTTCCTTTTGCTCAAACTCCTTCCAATCATCTTCTTCCTGTAAGACAAGAGAAATACAAGTTAACTTCTTTACACTGAGAGTAGAAGACTGTAACTAAGGTAACTAAGATAATAAAAAGAAAACTAAGGGTGAAGGTGCAGTTCCATGGGAAACCGATCTATCTGCGCCACTGCCAACTGGGAAGGAATTCCACTCCCTCCTCCCCTCACTTACCATATGTGATGCACTTGTGAGCTGACTAACTCACTGCCACAGCTAAGAGATGCCCCAGCAAAAACAGTTGTTCAAGTGAAAGAAAACCACATCATGTCAGTAAAAATCCAGTGGGAAGTCACAGGGCAGCACAGGACCAGGAAAATACAAGGACAAGACCTCTCCCTTTACATAAAGGAAAGCTTCTGTGACAGCCTGAATGCACAGAAGGCTTTAGATTTACTTTTCCATCGCTTATTTCACGAGCCAAACATTAAAGGACATTTGGAACAGCTTACAGTGGATTTATGACAAAGATTAATATTGGTACATTTGACTTTTTCACATTCACAACCACATTTACAGCCTTTCTTGGCTTTTTAATAGTGTTTTTAGAATAGTAAAAAGGTCAGCTTCAAATCCCACAGCAATCTGAGCACACAAAACCAGTGGAATACAAGTCTCTGGAGAGCCCCACTTTAAGGTTTTAAAACAGGATTTTGATTGCATGTTTGGAGAAATCAGGACCCACCTAAGTGGGTCCAATTTCGTCCTGTTGTGTAATCAGCAGATTCTGGGGATAAGGTAGGCCAGAAATGGACCAGAAAAGCAGGCCTCCCGTGTTTCTAGTCACATCTTTAAGACACACACACACTCAGCCTAATTAAAGTTACCAGGCTTTAAGTTAAACATAATTCCCACACTCTACATGAAATGCAGTTTTATTACTTCAAATATGAAGACCCGGCAAGCAGGGTCTACCCATGGCATGGCCCCTTTCAGCCGGGAATACAGCTTCTTTTAAGAGCCCTGTCCTAGGACCTTTACATTATCAACCTCTAGCAGGAAAACTTTGACCTGCTTTAAAGTAACAGCAGAAGCAGAAAATGACCTGATGTACTGCACCGTCTGCTGAAGATCCAGTCCTTTGGAAGAGCCTGAGCCAACAGCTCTAAAATCTCTTGGATTTCTTATATCCCCATCTCCATGGAAACATCACTGTTTCCAAACTAAAGTACCTTTCACATTTAATGATCTTTATCTCTATTCCAACTACAAGTTTCAATCACAAGCATGTATTATTCTACAAGCAAATGAGCAGCTAAAGAGTACCACTGACCCTGGTCTATTTAGGGAGCTACTGTTGGTGTCAAGCTCCGCAAGTTAAAGAACACTGGGAAGTAGCAGGGTGTTCCTCAAATTGCTTAAAATACACAGCACGACCAGTTGTAAGGCATTAACTCAACTATGAGCACTTAAGCTTCTCTCGCATTCCCGTTGTTTCACTGTAAATTGACACAAAAAAGGATTAATGACTGGCAGTGCAACCCTTGCCGGCAACGGGGAAGGCAATGAGCTCGGAGTACTTTTCCTGCAGAGCCGGGGGACCTCACCACCGAGGTCCATAGGCCACACACCCAGCTGGCCTACAGCCGTCACCTGATCCGAACAGCCAGTTCCGGCTGCTACCATGCGTCGAGGCCCAGAAACCTGTGCGGGCTGGGTAGGGCCGAAGCCGGAGACCGGGAACCGGCCACCCCACCCTTCCCTCCCCGCCAGCGGATACGAGGCCGGCAGCTCCGCCAGGCCCCATCGGCCCCGGGCGTCCGCATGGCCGGGCGGCGCCGCGCCGCTGCCGCGGGCCGGACACTG